AGGTTGAATCGATGATGATTGAATCCATGCGGACTTTGGCAATTGTCTTTTGGCGTAGTAGGCCAAACAAACTGGCGCAGTGGACTTTGATGATTGAATCCATTATCATTGAAGAGGATGAATCAGCAGTGGGACAGGGAAGACTTCCGTTCCAGACTTCTAGGGTTTCAGTTTTGGAGAGAAATCCACAAAAATCAATAAAAGAATCTGACCAAAATCTACGTAAATCAATTAAAAAGTAGGTCAAAATCTATATGGAGTCTATGGATTTTCTAAATCCTTTGACTTTTTAAAGTTCAAAAAAATCTTAGAAAATCCCTATTCAATACACCCTACTAAATTAGAGGAGATAAAAGGGAATTGAAACTTAAATTTTGGGTCTTCTTACTTTCATATTGTTTTAACCAAATAGCGAAAGAGACTCGGATTCTCTCCCCTCCTTCCAAGTTCCAACGAAACAGACCCTTAAAGTCTTAAATTTTGAAATATGATTACCTACCTTATAATTCAATGAATATGATTCTTTTATCTCACATCGTAGCATTGATTTAGATTAGCGAAAAAATACTATTTATGAGAAAAAGACTAAACTAAGAGTAAAATATTAAAAATATATGAGTTTCATATTTTTATTTCTGAATTAGTAATTCAAATATATATACAGTGTCAATTATGACCATATACATTACCAAAAAGTATTATGAAATATCTATATACACTACCACATTACTATAGTTCAAACTCTTATTTTTTCTATAAAAACACGGAGATCCTATTTTAGTATTTTTCTGTGTTTCACTTTTATTTAGTGTGATTTTTTTATTATTCATCTATCTTGTATTATTATGATTCTCCTCTCTCGCATTGATTTAAAAATATGATTCTTCTCTCCGTACATAATTTAAAAAATAAAGGCTTGATTAGCAATGCTATAATTCAAAATAATTATAATTAAAAAAGCATTAAAAATCTAGTGTCTCCACTCCCCCATATTAATTAAAGAAATGAATATAAAAATATTAGTAATCTCATGTCTCTAAATAGAAATTTATAAAAACATTTGATATTTTTTTTAGTTTTTTTTGTTTTCTAGTTTGAATTCAAAATCATTCAATCCCATAAAAGTATTCATTTTTTTAATTTATTTCGATTTAAATATTTAATCATTTTTTTTTCAAGGATAAAATGTAAATTATTAATATCCAATGAGTCAATACAATGTACATCCACGAAGTAAACATACAATGCATCGGGGCATACCCCTATAAATCAAAACAAAGGTGGCACACACGCCAAAGGCACGCACGCCCAATCAACAAACATGAGTAAATAAGCACAAGCATAGGAAAAATGAAAATCACGCAAAGACATGATCATCGCATTGCCACGACCCATTCTCATCATCATGCATCATCATCCTCAGTGGAGCATCAAAAGGTATGATCGTCCTCATCAAAACTCCGGAGGTAAGCACCACCGAAGGGCTTTATGGATCATCAAGACACAAGACCTAAGGGATCATTCGCGTCGTTGTTGCCACTACAACGACAAGTCCTCAACAAATGGAGGCTCAGCAGTTTCACCCTCAAGAATGAATGTCGTGACCCATGTCCACGGGTTCACCTTAAGCCAAAGTGCCAGATTAAGACTCAGCCGAACCTAAACGGGGACGGCAATGGCGTTTGGAATATTTAATCATTTAAAAATGGTCTATTGGCCTTTGGTTTAACAATATTTTAATGTATAGATTAAAACATTTTGAGATTTTATTTTACATTAATGTTGAAAATGAATAAAATAAAAACTAACTTCATTTAAGCTTGTCAAAAACAAAAAAAATTTAAGAGGTTAAGAAAGTATCTTTTTTAATGAAGGAAATCTAATTTATTCATTGATCGTTTTATTATAAGTGAAGTAAAAAAATAGTATAAAATTAGAAAAATACTTGTATATTCTGATAAAAGCGTTGATTCTATTTCATAATTAAATTTACTCAGTGCTGTTGAAATCGTAAAGAATGTTGGTGTAAAAATAGTATGTCATTGTGAGACATTTTTTGAATAAATTATATTCTATAATGTGATTAAGAAATATCATATCATAATAGATAATTAAAATAATATATTATATGAATGCATATCGTATGAAATCAAAATTGATAACTGCATTCTATGATGTAATTAAAAATCTCAAATCATAATAAATAATTAAAAATAGTATATTATAAAAACTAATTTCATTTAAGTTTGTCATAAACAAATATGAATTTTTAAAAGTTAATAAAGTATTTTTTCCGAGGAAGGAAATCTTATTTATTCATTGATAGTTGGGGATTTCGATTCATCTAATAAAGAAAGAGACATCATCATTGCAAAAAGAAATGGATTCTTACAACAAAACCATGAGACACATCCTGCATACATACCTCTCTAGTACTCTTTGTTGTTTCCTTTGGGGAGGATGGATATCAAGAAAATATCCCTATAAGTTTGTGTAGAAAATTGTAAAGTGTCCAAAGGTATACGTGAGAGAATTTGTTGCATACACAATGGTTGTAACACAGAGAATCCAGTGGGTGCAGTTAAACCAAGATCTAGTTAGGGGAGTAATATGTGTGGCGTAAAAGGAAATATGATAAGTGGTGATATCAAATCGACATCCATGGCCAACAAATTATTCTACCATCTACATTCACTCGGAGAATGAGATATATGTTTAACAACTTTTAAGATGCTATGGCCACTTGTAGAAGACTTGATTATCCAAATTTGTTCATTACTATGACATGTAATCCTCAATGACCAGAGATTGCAAGATATATGACTGTAAAAAAATGTAGAACTGAAGACATACCTGATATTTAGTAATCTAAAATCTTTAAAATGAAATTGAATATTTAAAAAAGGACTTAAAAAAGGAACAGTTGTCCCCAACAGATTCATCTGTGGGGGTGGTTGTCATGCTTGGAGCATGTGCATCGGCGCTCTAATGTCTTCCACGCTCCTTCCACGTCATGAAAACTTTTTCTTTCCTTGCGTGGTGTTGTCGTTCCACCATGAAAAACATGGGAGGTGCGAGGCAACTTACTCTCTATTTTTATTTATTTATTTTTTATAAGAAAGAAGATTTTTTTGAAATAGGGGTATATGTATTTTTATTAAAAATAATAAATAAATTAATTTCTAATAATTAAAATATATTTAAAAAGTGTAAAAACTGACAAAAATAATGACTTGTCATTGCATATCATGTCAATTTGTTCACTTGTCATATGCGGATTGAATCATTTTTCATTGTTTGAAATATATCGCGTCAACGGTTGGTATTCCATTTCTTTACTTAGAGCAGTGAAAACAATGCTAACGTCAGAGGCGTCAATTAGCGTTTAACACAAGGGCGGCGTTAAACACCGCCCCCCGGTGGAGTTATGGAGACGTCAGCTAACATGCGTCAAAAGTTTGACGTTGGTGTGTTTTGTGGCCCAAACGGCTATAATGCCGTTGGACATTTATTTAGAAGAAATTATTTTTAATACTATAAATACCTCTTATTTTTAACACAACAAACACACACAACATTTTTTCATTCTCTCTATAATTCATCCAAAATATATTCTATTTATTTTAATTCTCTGTACAAAATATTTAAAAATGAGATCATCTGATATGTTCGACGAAAACTTGAAGTTGTCTGCTTGGGGCATCAGGTCATGTGTTCATAAATTTTCTAAAGCTATTATTCGAATTTATCATAAATGGTATTTACATAAGTCGACAACGAGCGACATTGAGCAGTTACAGACTAGGCATGCCGCTAAACACGGTTTTCCTTGACAAATGAGGCCGTCTTATTCACCATGTTGGGTGAAGTTGTGATGAATATTTCTACTCCGTATTTTTTTATTTTGCTTACTTAAAATGGAGTAGTGGAGTACTATTTTTTTCCTTCTTTTTTCAAATGGAAAAAGTCAAAAAGTATTTTTTTGAATGCAAAAGTCAAAAAGTATGAAGTGTTTATGGAGTATTTATTTTAGAGAGTAAAATGAATAAGAATATTTTTACATTTTAAATAAAAAAATCTTTTTCTTTGAAAGAGTCAAAGATTAATAATTAGTCCATGTTGATTCAAAACTGGGAAAGAGGATATTTATTGTTTTATGCTCATTTTAACAAAATTAATAATTCCAAAACAATATCACAACAGAGGATCTCAAAGACGTAGGACAAAGAATCACGAAGATTAAGCCAATATGTATACTTGGATTGTGGCTTTCTACCACCAAAAAGAGATGGAGAAAGATGAGGAGATTGTTAATGCTTAGAGGGTGTTTGGCAGTGCGCTGCTTTTAGTAATTTAGCTTCTGCTTTGAGTGGAAGTGATTTTATTCTGTTTGGCATGTCAGCTTCTGCTTTTCACCACCACTATTTTATACACAGAACACCGTTTTGGAGAAGCAAGTATGAGGTGCTTTTGCTTTCAGCTTTTGTGAAAATCACTTTATCCAGAAGTTAAACACTCCCAAACAAGCTCTTAACATGTATACTTGACGCGTCCTAAAACGCTCTTTCCAGTTTCTATTTATACAGTCAAATATTAATCACTTTCTTTACCTATTTTCATTAGTTATTTGATAAAACAATACAGTCTTATCATCTCTTATTTTTTAGAGCTTTCGTTGTAGTTTTTTAAATATATAAATTGTATTTTTTAATTTTACATCTACAATTAAATAAATTGAAATAAAAATAAATTCAGTCAATCATAAACAGAAATAAGAACATTCTGTGACGGATGGAGTATATCAATAGTAAATCTAACCGATGCGAATATCGTATCGGATATGGAAGAACTTCGAGCGTTCTTCAAGATCCAAGAAAATTAGGTAGAGAAAGATGGAAAACTTCGAGCGTTTTCGGGCTCCAAGAGAATAGAGAAAGAGATTAGGGTTTTGATATTTCTTTATTGATTGAATAATAATAATACGAGAGTACAATATATAGAGATACGAGAAACCTTAATTAACCTAATGGGCTTGGGCTCCATACTAAAACCTAATCATGAGTACCTATATAATACTACTAATTAATAAATAACTAACTAAATAATGTAATTCATCTTCTGTATCATTCCCACCCCCTTAGAAAGCCACCTTGTCCTCAAGGTGGAGGCTCCCACTCGTGCTTCTGGACAAAAGGAAAATGGTTGAGCCAAAGACGATCTCCCCCTGGTGACCCATCATTACAAATCTCAACAATTGAAGCGTAACAGAGGATAGTTGAGGCAAAACCAAACAGGTGGTGAACTACTCGCAAGGGAGCTAAGTATTCAAACTTTTCAATATCATCAAGGTCAAACAACTTGAGGGTATCCAATGAAATTGAGTTGTCAACTTTGAGAAACTCTTCATCTGCTACTTTGTTCTCACATCTTGAAACTTTATACTCTGACATGACCACATCAAGCGAGGTATCGATATCCTGAAAAATAGGATCTGGCTTGTAGTTCTTAGTAACATCTGCATGCTTACGATCATCATCAATTACTTCCACATTGTTGGGCTTCCCGTTATCTTCATTCATGGCTTCAAATACACTGCTCACCTCATCTTCACCACGTGGTCCAGTGCGGAATTTCGTTGCTCCAAGTGCATCCTCCATAGTTGGGGTGGGTAGTGTGGTGGTGTCTTCCACCCTGTGACCAAATTTGTCTATAACCTTCTTTGGTGTCTTCTCAAAATAAATATAATTCAAATCATGTAGCGAAGCAAATCGAATCTTGAACTTTTCAACAAAATCCGTCCAATCATCAATTAAGCCACCACGCATACGCCAATTAAACCAAGCCAAGGCAGAGCCCTCTAACATTGATGTCACATGGTTTAAACGATCAACTAAAGGGATCTCATAACACTCAAAATACACACATACCTTTCCTAACCACTGCAAGGGTTCAGAGCCGTCACATTTTGGGGGCATCGTTGGTGGAGAAAGTGGAGCGCCTGTCACTTTCCATATAGTACCCATAATGTGTGCTCTAAACATTTGTAACTCAAACGGAATTTGACTTGGCACAATTAGAGGCTCACGAACCAAATCCTGTACCGAGCAAAAACTTTCTACGTCGAGCGCATCATAATCAATGAGAGCACCAATTGATACGTCTCATCTCAATGAGAGCACCAATTGATACGAATATCGTATCGGATATGGAAGAACTTCGAGCGTTCTTCAAGCTCCAAGAAAATTAGGTAGAGAAAGATGGAAAACTTTGAACGTTTCCGGGCTCCAAGAGAATAGAGAAAGAGATTAGGGTTTTGATATTTCTTTATTGATTGAATAATAATAATACGAGAGTACAATATATAGAGATACGAGAAACCTTAATTAACCTAATGGGCTTGGGCCCCATACTAAAACCTAATCATGAGTACCTATATAATACTACTAATTAATAAATAACAAACAAAATAATGTAATTCATCTTCTGTATCACTAACTATCAGCTTGTTTAATAGAAGTATCTTGCCATTGTTTACTTCGTTGGGGTTTGGTGAATGAATAAGTGTGTTTCAGTTTCAAAGAAAAAATGAAACTACTATCTTGTTGAGTATTCTTTCAATTTAAAAATTAAGAATCAAACTTGATAATTTTTTATTAATTAAATAAAAATCTTGAGTGTATTTGTACAAAAATAATTTCATTACTGATAGAATTTAGGATAGGTATGGACAACTAGATTGGCTATAAGATACTTGGGCTGAACCACATTAAAATATTGAATCCAATCGATTAGTTAGTTCAACTCAAGAGCTTATATACAGATTAATTTCCTCACACTTTTTCGATGTGGGATACTCTTTAACACTCCCCCTCAAGTGGACAACCGGGCCATTTTGAATCTAACCGGTTGACCACTTGCAAATGAACTCTCTGTAACGCCCCAAAACATACCCCAGAATTATTAATAAATAAATAATCAAGTAATCAAATGGTTTTGATTAAAAATAATAAAAATAAAAATAATAATTGTTATTGGGCTTTAGGCTGAAATAAAATATGTATTGATATCCAATACACATATTTCGGATAAATCTCATAGAGATAAATCCAACATGTTGACTTATTGTGTGACCTTAATTGGAAACCTGAGTACAGACCCAAATCAAGGATAAATGAAGAAATTTGTTTATGATATGAACTTTGAAATGATTTATTGTGAAATAAATCATGAGCATAAATAATATGAATGAAATGTAAGAACCTTTTTGTGATAAAGGTCAATAAAACCAATTTTGGCTCTGTCAAAATCAACCACCCAAAAATATGATGTCGGAAAAAATATTACAGAAAAATATAAAAGTTATATCGTTGGATAGAGTTTAATTGTACGATCGCAACGGTGCAAACGGATTTCAAATCAGAGAAAGTTGGACCGAAAAGTGTTCCCCGACTAGGACCAAAATTAGTCCCAATCAGGGACTTGTGTTCGGAATCATGAATATCGCAGCACTTTCCACTGAGAGGCCAAAATAGGGACTGCGTACATCACCATTGGCTTCTTCCTCTTCCTTCTCATATAAAAGACTACCATAACTTCCTCCATTCTTCACCATTTCTTACAAACTTTCTATCTATTCTACTGCTGGGAGTGAGGAGAACGCAGTGGTGCTGTCATATTGGTGTGAGGTCGCCGGAAATAGCCACAGTTCTCGCCGGAAGTTCCGCGGAAAATCTTCAAAACCTTCATTTACCTTCGAAGTAAGCTCGTAGATATATCTAGTGACTAGAATGTTCGTATAGATCGTTTCAACGTTCGTAAACGGTCGTTTGGTTGAGTTTTGTGTTTGACATGCTTGAAGAACCAAAAATTATAAACCATGAAATTGATGTTAAAACTATGAATTATTGATGCCAAAATGATCTATGAACCTTGGAGAACATTTCTATATAGTTTTGATGAAGTTCGGTAACCAAAAATGGTATTTTCGAAATTGGACCCGAGAGGTTGAAGAAGATGAATAGTAGCTGAAATACAGCAGGGAGGATCGATCATCTTCATTGGATCGATCCCCTGGGAGTAAATTTTATAGTCTGGATCGATCCAGACCACTAGATCGATCCCCCGAAAATGTGATCCGAAAATTTGTCCGAAAATGCTATTTTTGAGCTCTAAAATCCAATTTTTGATACCAATTGATTATGATCATTATAAAGATGATTTTTCATAATAAAAATGATGTTTTTAATAAATAAAAATGTTATGTGATGCATGACGGTAAGTTCAGGTGTTAACACTCGAAGTTAGGCCGCTATTTGTTATCGATTATTATGTTGATTGATGACTATGAAGAAGGATTATTATGGTTGATTATGAATGATGAATTTACTAATTAAAGTAATTATTAATGATTGAATCATGATTAAAATAAATACGTTGATGATTACAAAATGAATTATATTGTTAAGGATATCTAGAAGAACTCTAGGATATACCCATTTGGAAATTAATGATGACTTATCAAGAATATCTAGAAGAACTCTAAGATATATTTATATTGATATTGGTTTCTAACACTATCTAGAAGACCTCAAAGATAGCTTAGAAATAGGCTTTGCGGGTATAATTATGAATATTCGGTGGCATAGGTTAAAACGTACGTACGGGATCTACAAACCAAACTTGAGGATTACTCGTTTGGGGATACCATCCAACCCGACAGTGAGCATTCCGATGTTCGGTTTTTGGTTGACATTAAGCGAAGGTAAGTTTTATCTTAAACTAGGCCTAGCTTGAGGATTTGATAAAAGTACCTTAGACTAGAATATAGTTTAAGAATCGAATAGAAATATCTTAAACTAGAATTCGTTTAAGGATTGATAAACATTAAAGAGATTGGCCTTAGACTAAGAATAGTTTAAAGGATATTGTTGAATGTTGAATATTGAGTAAAACTAAATGTTGAATGATGAATATTGAATTGAATATTGTAATTATTATGAATGACAGATAAATGTTGAATGTGAAAATAAAATAATGAATGATGAATAATGACTAATGATTATTCAGTATTTGAACTGAACATTATGTGCATGATATCAATTGATTTGATTATGAATTTAGAATCAGTTTATATGGATGTTCGACGCATTAGATATGCTTACTCAGCTTAAACGTTGAGCGTGTAGTATGCTTTATTTGCTACACGCAGGTAAACAAAAAGAACTACATAATCTGTTTTATACTCCCTCCGTCCATAAATAAACTTCCCACTTTCCTTTTTCGTCCGTCCACAAATAAACTTCCCGTTTCCTTTTTGGAAACTTTTTTATAGTGAAAAGACTTAACTACCCTCACTCTCCATCCTTATCTTTTCTTTTTTTTTCTTTTCCCAGTCGGTCAACCCACCACCATCCATTCTCTTGTGTCCTTATCCTCTTCATTCCGTCACAGTACTTCATCTTCTTCTTTCTTTTTTCTTTCTTTTCTCATTCTTCTTCTTCTTTGCTTTCGTATTCTTCTTCTTTCTTCTTTTTTTTTCTTCTTCTTTTTTCTTCTTCTTTTTTTCTTTCTCTGCCTTTTAATTGTCCTGTCATCTACTGATTGGGAGCATAGAAATGACGATCGAGGTAACGCTAGAGCAACAAGACAATGATTGGATGTGACGCCGCAGTTGGATATGATCATCCTCCAACATAGTCTCCATGAATTCCATAGATCTACAAGTCCTCCATCAATTCCGTAGATCTCCACAGTTGGATCTGCTCTCAACCCCGCCTCTCGCCGTTAAACTCTCGGATTCAAGATATTCACCCTTGCCCACGTTGTCTTCAACAAAAACTAGAATAGATCTAAAAGGTGGGGATTACAGAAGAGCTGGGAGAAACAAGCACGCGCTAGAGAGGCCATCCATGGTGGTGACGCCGGAGATCCGCCGTTGGTGGTGCTTGAGATTTGCTGTCGACGGTGTTTGAGGGTCATTGGCTGGTGGTTGCAAGGGAAGATATGATGGACGGAGGGATATGTTGGAGAGGCTTAGCGTTGGAGAAGTGTTGAGGTGTGGGGGTATAATTGGAAAGTCAAGGCCATTTTTATCACACATTAATATGCGTGCCGGGTCAAACCGGGAAGTTCTTTTTTGGACGGAGGGAGTATATCATTTAAAAGACTTCAAATAATTAAAAAAAGAACTATGTTGATATAATATTTTTGTTTTATCAACTTTTAAACTAGTTCAATGTTAAAACAATTAGTATTATGTATTTTTTATCTTTAGAAAATATAACTAATCAATACTTAAAATAATATTTTATCTTTAAAATATTAATTATACTTTAGTATGCTACATTTCATTTTTAATCAACAAAATATAAACTTTATAATGTCAATAATATAGAAGAACACATTATCTAGTTTTTATTTATTTTTGAAAATATGAGTATTGTTTTTACTATTTAAGTATTTATTAGACATTCACTCTGAACTTTTAATAAAAATAGAAACTATTAAATTTTATATTCACAATGATATTAATTGAAAATATCTAATAATATAATATATAAAAATAAGTATATTAATTATATTTGACCGGTTTGTTGACTCCCGGGTTGACCGGTCCGACCGGTTAGCCGACCCACATCCTCGTCCGAGTTGACGGCTGGTTTAGCACATTGGTCGTAGAGGCACTTCACTTTGCCTTTTTATTGTCAAAAGTTTTTATTGCCTTTTTATGGTCGTAGAGGATTAAATATGAAAATCCTCATGTTACAAAGGACCTGTAACAACCCAACCCGCGTAACCCGAACCAACGGGTTAGCGAACCGGGTTGCCACTAAGTTGATATTCGCATGCATAATTTTTTTTAAAAATGGCCATTAAATCAATTATAAAATTCGTCCGTAGAGTTTTAACTAAACCCAAATTCATCAGAATAATTAAATAAATCCAAACGTCGCGGAAGCATAAGAAAACCCAAGTAACGTCCAACAGTCCATATAATCAAATAAAATAATGTAGTTTAATTATTAAAGTAAACAAGAGCCATCCACGCCACACCACCACTTCACTGCCCTGCGGGTTGCCCATCCAAATCTGTGTTCCTACCTGCGTGCAGTCAAACAACAACGACTACACGCTCAGCGAAACGCTGAGTGAAAATATACCTAAGTCAGCATTGACTCACAGAATAGCACCACATTAACATCCAATCAACAACAACATGTGATCACAGAGAAAATAGCTTTAATAAACATATTTATATTAACACCTTCCATTTGAACATCATGTCCCTATTTTATTCCACATCAACTACTTTGAGTCATGGCACCCCAAGCAATGCTATAAAAGGGCCAGCTCAGAAACCCAAAGGAGATTCACTTTGGGCGGGTTGAAGCCCATGTTCCTACGATGCCAGGACAGGTCGCGGACTTCCATACGTACGTTTTTAACCCAAGACCACCGGGGGTGCGACGACACCCCGCAATGGCCAATTTCCTAACCATATCTTATTGGTGATTCAATCAGTCAATCCAATTCAGGTCCGCCTAATTATACTAGGTGGCCTATTTCCTATATATTATTCATAATCCACAATTTTCACCAATAAGATCAATTTAATTTAAATCTCAGTTCACAATTCACAACAAATCACGTAGCGGCCTATCTGGGCCAAAGACCAACGATTACCGTCATGCATAATTAAACAACCCAAATTACAGTTAACCCAACTTACCTACGTGGAATCGAGCCCAAGGAATCAATCCTCAAGCCCGCTGCCCCCGCCGGAGCAGTCCCCATCGTTGCCGGAACAACCCCGGCACCCCGCCGGTAGCCGCCCTGGCTGCCCAAACCCGAAACTCGACCAAACAGCCCTATTGGGTGATTCCCAGCCACCCGGACAGCCATCAATTAGCCCCAAACGGTCCAATCCAACCCAATTATACCCAATTAAATCCAAATAACCCAATTGAACCCGTTAGGACCCAATTGCACCCAATTGGTGCCAATTGGATCCAATTGGTCCAAATCAAGAGGCTGCCTAGTTCTGGCCACCTCGCCGCCGCCGTTGCCGGCGGTCGCCAGAGGTGATGACGGAAAACAGCCCCCAAACACCAATTCCATAATTTCAACACAACAATCACAAATTCTCAATCAAATCGCAAGATTATACGCCAAGGAAGTTCTAATCTACGAATTAATGCTAACAGAAGGTATAGAAACCACAAATCACATCGAAAATTGAGGAAATCGAAACCTTGGATTGGACTTGCAACATTCTCATGTTTAGAAGCTTGGCATTTTAAGCAGTTTCTCACATAGTGACTTACTGTCTTAGACATGCCTTTCCAGTAGAATAAAGCTTTTACCCTTTTTAATGTGCCATCCCTTCCAGAGTGCCCTCCTTCAGGACTATCATGGTGCCACTTGATGATTTTAATTTTCAGCTGGTCATCATGTCCTATCACCAATTTTCCCTTTCTTCGTAAATAGTCACCCTGAAATGTAAAGTTCTTGATAGGTTGAGATTGCTTGAGAGCTTGGATCATATGCACCACATTCACATCCAATTGATAGCTGTCTTGAATCAGCTTTCCCAAATCTGATGTATCCTTGATAAGGCATCAGCAGCCACATTTTCCTTCCCACTCTTATATACAATTTCATAATCAAACCCCAACAATTTAGATAGCCAGAATTGTTGGAAAGGTGTGGAAATTTTCTGTTGTAGAAGCCATTTCAAGCTCTTCTGATCAGTTCTTATGATGAAATGGCTACCTAGCAAATATTGCTCCCATCGAACCTTGGAAACTCCAATTTAGGGTTGAAATTGAGAGATCTAGCATTTGATTGGCTTCCGTCCCCACTTGACGAAGGACTTCTTTCCCTCTCCTTGTCGGATTTTGTTTCTAGTTTCTTCAAGATCAACATGATCTAATCCAGCTTCAGATCCTGTGCATTGATCCTTTCATCAATCCCTGCAAATCTGCTTTCCATGACCTTCAGTTGAGCTTCCATGTCTACCGAGTTGCAACCTCGATTCAACGTTGGCCGGCGATCGTGAATTGAACAGGAAAGTGCTTTGATACCATTGTTACAGACCAAACGGAAGAACTCAGCCCAAAAGACTAGCCTGATAGGTGAGGGAACCCATTTGGCCTATAAACCCCACATCAATTGCCCATACAACCGATGTGAGACAAGTCCCATACCTTGCAATGGTTTCAGTTCATAACATTCACCCCTCCTTAAGGACCAACGTCCTCGTTGGTCACTGCTGGCTCTCTCCAGGCCACCACTCCGAGGTTGGCTCTGATACCATTGTTATAGCCAGACAGCTTGGCTACGAAGATTTGCAGAAGAGGCGGAGAAATCTTGATGGAGAAGAAAGATCAGAGATATTTTGGGAGGGGGAATAAGAAGAAAGAGAAGATATTTTCAGAACAAGATTGTATATTCATGTTTAACAGTGAGGTAACCCAACATTATTTATACACATAGCCTCATCTAACTGCTTCTAACAATATTACAACTGATTCAACTAACTACTAGCCACGTGAGTACGCGAGCTGTAACAGCGAATCGGAAAATTTGGGGGGGGGGGGGAAGAGAGAGACGACAGCGGTGGTTCCCCAGGCGGCGGTGGTTGACGGCGTCAGCTCCCTGGTCGGCGTCTCTGGTCGATGTGCAGCGGCGGACGATAAGGAAACGGGAGAGAAAGAGAGACCAGTCGTGCGTTACGCGATTCTCTAATCCTTCCGTAACCTACTGGCTTTTATTATATAATTAAATGTATTTTGGGTCCACCTTACACTACTTAACCAATTAGGATAAGTTTAACCCCAATTACCTGATTCGTCAATCGTATCTTGGACCCAATAAGTCCGATTCATGATCCGTTTGTGCGATCGGGTTTAGAACAGCGAGCCCTACAACGTAGGTCAACTCTCATATTAAATATGCAAATTAGAAAAAAATCTTTGTTCTAACCAACTCAGTAATTAATTAATTATATAAATTAATTAAAAATACTAAGCCATGTTTTGGGGCGTTACAGGACCAATTCTGGAATTTACTCATTTTAAAACATCTAAACCAATCTTCGCAAAAATAGTACAGGTGGGGGCCGATCTTGTCTGACTAGTCAGGTCTTTAAGCTCATATCTAATCTAAATTCTCCACAAATTCAGCTAATTTATAGAAAAACTAAACCCTCACCCCAATGCAATTTATAACTAGTATCCCATAATGTTATTTAAAAAATAAATCAAATATAACACAAACAAAAAGTGATTAAAATGGCTACAAACCCTAACACACTTCTCTTCTCCAATTCACATAGAGCTATGAACATAAAAACCAAGAGAAAGTATGAATTTGGGAAGAATGGGTATGTTCTAAAAAATGAAAAATGGGTGTTGATGGGGAATAATATGTGGCTCAATCTACATTTCTCAATTATTTACAAAGAGTAATCAAACCGGACCTATTAATAAGATGGAGGAATAAGAGAATATTCCCCAGTATATGCTCCCCTGCGACTCCTATAAAATGAAGGCTCTCTTTCATCAAAGGGGAGGCCAATTGACTCCTTCTCTGCCCAACTTCCTCTCCCTCTCTAGAGTATTATATATTTTATTTCTTCAAAGAAGCTTCAAGCTTCCATTAATGGCTTTCGAGCCCAAATCATGTACCATGTACAACTCCCGATATTAATAAAAATCTTCTATAGGTAATGTACCGCCAAAAAAAGCTCGTGGTTTTCTCCTGATTGGGTTTCCACGTCAAAATCTCTGTGTTTGTATTTTTTTAGACTAGTTTATTGTTCTTGTCTGGTTAACAACGATATACTGGTCGAAATAATTTACACCATCATTTTTTATACCGACCGTGGGACCCGAGCAATAGTCATGTTACTCTGGTCGGGGAGTTATCAATCATTCCCAACAAGGCCGTTGGAGCCTTCATTACCGTTAATTTCTTCCAGAACTTGCTCCTCTATTTGCCACTAAAAACATCCTCAGAATTTTCATCCACACTCCCAACAAAGAAAAGGAGAGTAGAAAACTAAGCCAGAGGAGGAATTTGTTACCATTGTTGCCAAGGTCCATCTACTTCGGAAGCTGTTGAGGATTCGTATCCACCATTGATATATTTTTAATATTTTAGTCATACTTTAGTCTCTTTGTCTAAAGAAAGTAAGATTATTATAATGACGGGGAAGATAGGGAATACATGGAATGGAAGGTAAAAGGGTAAAAGTGAAATAAGTTAGGCAATTAGCCATTTTTGACCGAATCGAAGGTAAAAGTGAAATAAGTTACGCCATTACCGGGGGGATTTGATGGGGTAGAAATCGTCAGGAATGGACAAGATAAAAAGGCAAAGGGCATTCTCAGTCCCTGCTAACGAGCGCCAATATCAGCTGAATAACTTACTTAGGCCATAATTTTTGCTTTGCACCGGCCCCCGGTGGAGATGGCTTCCGAAGGGGAAGAAGATTCCGACGCGGACGTTGGTTTCGAAGCCGACATGGAAGCCCTAAGAAGGGCCTGCCTATGGACCGGAACTAGTCCCTACCAAGCAGGAGGCGATTCCTCAGCCCGTCCCGCGGCGGCTGCCAGTGTCCCATCCTCCCCTGAAGCCGATGAAGGAGTGGACGATATTGAGCTGGTTCGTGATTTAGAGAAACGGTTTGAGCTTTCGGCGGAGGTTCAAGTGCCTCTGGATGTTGAAGCTTTATGCTCGGTTTTCCCCACTGCGTCCGATGGTAGGGATGACTGCGAAGATGATCTGGAAGCGCTCCGTGCTATTCAGAGACGATTCGCGTCATATAATGACGGTAGGAGATTATGTTAATCTGTTCATCCCTTCAGGTTTCTCACAATACACAAAAATCAAGAAATTTTCACAGCTAGCAATCTTAATCTCTTTTTATTTTGGGAAATAATTCGATATTGTCAGAAAGACCAAAATAGGACTAAAAAATTGAAAATATATCAAAATGACTTCCATGTTTATATTTTCAAAATAGGAGCATTTACATTACCAAAAGGTATACTAATGTGCATATGTACAGTGTCATACTACCACAATGCCAAGTCCTATTTTGAAAAAAAACATGAAAGTCCTATTTTGGTAGTGTGATTTCTATAATGTAACCATCTTGCGGGTATCTGCTTCCAAAAAGAATATGACTATCCTTATGCCCTCTTTAATACAGATAATGCAAAAGAAGATTTGGATAAGAAGTTGCATAAGCCTGTGCAGGTTGGTGTTAATAATATAACCTCAGAAGAGGAAAGTTGCTATAATTTCATTCTAGAGAGAACTAATGCTGAGGAAGGGTTTCTCACTTCTGTAGATGGACATAACAGTGCACTTCAGATTTCAGAAGCTGGCAGTCATCTTGATGCTGGACCCCAGTCCTGTGAGTTGTCTGAGTGGAACAATAGTAGCACAGAAAATGAATCTTGCTTGTTACCTGGAAGCTCTAATTTCCCTCAATCAGCACAAGCTTTTGTGGATGCAATAAAGAAGAACCGGGCTTTCCAGAAAGTTATTCGAAGCAAAATACTTCACATTGAAGCAAAGATTGAAGAGTTAAAAAAACTCAAGGGCCGGGTTAAAATCTTCAGGGATTTTCAGGCTGCTTGCAGAAAGAGGACTGGTCATGCCTTGGCACAAAAAAAGGATGCACGGGTCCAGTTGATATCTCTATCAAGACAAAAGGTTAATCCAAAGGTCAGTATGTTGTATCTAGTTTTGTTATACCAATTAGGCAAATGGAGAGGGGGGTTTGACGGTGTTAGGGGATTAGGAACCACTTTCGTGCCCAACGGAGCATTGTAGATACCCCATGTCATAATATGACATTGAATATAAATGTTAAAAGAACCAAGTGAGAATGATCCTTACCGCGAGAATGATCCTTACCGTGAGAATGGTGCATTTTTATGCCGCCACGATGCATTTCAACATTGTGGTAGTGCATTTTTGACACCGGGAGTAAAGTTCAACTTATTTACCATAATGCCACCGCATTTTTTCAGATTTTTTCAGTTTTTTTGGAAATTTTCAAGCCCTTAGACCTTACATCTAATGCACGAGATGCATTCTTATTTATTTCATTAGATCGCATTCTCACTTGATCCAAAGTCTCTCTCTCTCTCTCTCTCTCTATATATATATATATATATATATATATATATATATAGGGGCAGACCCAGAACATTTGAACCGTGGGGTCGTAATTTAGAAAATTTATATCCAACCATCACGCTTCTAACAATAAATCAGCAGTATTCATAACATTAAAGTTTATATATGTTATTGAAAATACTAATTAAAAATAGTTCTACATTGCAAATGTGAAATACATCTTTGGATTCTCACTCAATTCTTTCTTTTTAAATCTTGGTGTTTTTTTAAAATACTTTTGCATCCTATATTGAAATTTAAATAATTAAAAACATTATAAGATTAAAACATAACCTAATTATATTCACATATTCACAAACCACAATCTTAAAAAAATAAATGAATTCAATTCCCTATTCTTCTATTCACAATAACAAATTTATAACAATAAATTAAAATTTTCATAATTTACAAATAAAAAAGAAATATCCAATTTAGATAATTAGATTCAATAATGTAAGAGAAAAAATCTGGCAAAATAGAAATGGAAGATGAAGATTTGTTCGAGAAATTGGGGTGTCATCTTCCAAAAAATAATATATACCCATTCCTTTGCATCCTATATTGAAATTTAAATAATTAAAAACATTATAAACTTAAAACATAACCTAATTGTATTAACATATTCACAAATCACAATCTTAAAAAAATAAATGAATTCAATTCCTATTCTGCTATTCACAATAACAAATTTATAACAATAAATTAAAATTTTCAAAATTTACAAATAAAAAAAGAAATATCCAATTTAGATAACTAGATTCAATAATGTAAGAAAAAAACCTGGCAAAGTAGACATGGAAGATTTGAAGATTTGTTCTTGAAATTGGGGGTGCCATCTTCCAAAAAATAAAACTATACCCATAACTACAACTAGTTTCAAACTCAAGACCGCCCACTCCAATCAATGCAAATAGCAGAGCATTCCACTACTACAGCGGGTACAAGTTGAAACTTGAAGCGTGTTTTAGCATATATACTAAATGTAGGTATACACTAGGAAAATTGTATACATATATACTCCCTCCGTCCCAAATTATTTGTCATATTTGCTTTTTCAACAGTCGCGGGAACTTTTGTTTATTTCTACGTTTTCATTGGTTATTTGATAAAATAAAATATTCTTGACACCTCTTATTTCGAAGAACTTTTCATGTAGTTTTTTGATATGTAATTTTTATTTTTTATTTTTTTACCAATATGTAAATAAAATGAATTGAAAAAACTTGATATTTTGCCTCGGTAATAGAAATGTGACAAATAATTTGGGACGGAAGGAGTATATACTAAAAAAATTTATAATTTCCGTGGGGTCGCTTGACCCCGTGACCCAACGTGGGTCCGCCCCTGTATATATATATCAATGAAGTGTTTTTGCATACACAAAAATGGGGATATGGTATTCCCTACTAATTTTTTTCGTTTTCTTTCAGTCAAAAGAGAGAAAGTGTTCTGCTTTGTATTATCCACCACCTGAGAATTCTGTAGTTACTAGTTACAGAGAAGCATTGTTGAAGTTTCCTGTGTCTGTAAATCGAGAACGGTGGTCAAAAGAAGAAAGGGAGAATCTTTTGAAAGGCGTGAAACAACAATTCCAGGAAACTATGTTTCGTCGCTCAATTGATCTAAGAAGGTTTGATCTTCTAACAATTTAAGATAATTTAATAGAGAAATTTTTTTATATCTGTGATATGTAGACCTTAATAGCCAATGACTAAAATCTGCTGCCTTTTGCTTGTGCATTTTATTTTCTGCTTTTAGCTTCAAGTATTCTTTCTTTGCTAGATTTATTTCATCTTTAACTTATTGTATCTTTTGAATTTCTTATGTTTTGTTTTTTGTTTGTTGAAAAACAATTAAACTCCTACGAATTTGGCTGTATGTTATGGGCTATAGAACTGATCTATTGCAGTATTTTGGTGGACATATTAACTTATTAAGTAGTGATCACATTTCAATTTGCCAATCAAATATGGAAGGATTCAATTTGCATGTGTATATACTAGCAATTCTAGATGATTTAGAGAACATATGGGCATCATCATCAACAGACATAACTCTAGTCTATGGAGGGCTGGTTCCTAAATTCAGAGTAGTTAAATGATGTAGCAGATATTATATGACTGTTGAATCTAATGTGATTTTTTCTGGTCTTGTTAGAAAAGATTATTTGATATATATATATATATATATATATATATATATATATATATATATATATATATATATATATATATATATATAGACACACGCTTTTCACTTCAATATTTCAACCAAAACCCTTTATTTCATATGATCATGTCCTCATTTTTTGTTATTTGTGCAGTGACATGTATGAATCTTCTGGAGATTTGACTGATATTGACAACAATATTTCGTCCATAAAGGACCTTGATATTACCCCTGAAATGATGAGGTTGTTTCTACCCAAGGTCAATTGGGATCGTTTGGCTTCCATGTACATTCCCAAACGTACTGGTCTTGAATGTCAAACAAGGTATATAAATGTGTACATAAATAGAAATTGCACAGACATTTGTTTTTAAAGACAACACACACCTTTATATAAGATATAGGGTCCTGTTGAGTTATCTAGAATACATTTATCTGGAGTACTCTTTGGCTCTCTAAGATAAAACCTTCATAAGCTATCTAGAATATTCTCCAGGAATGTTTGTTTATTAGACTCGTGTATGCCAACACACAGATGTATGTATGCATATATGTGCACATATGAGCAGCTTCTGTAATATAAAGTGAGGAATATGCTTTGTCTTTCACTATTCAGATTTCTTCATGGTATGAAAGCCACCTTCTCCAAATTGAGTGTTCGGGTATCTCCAAAAACTAACTTTTCCAAGTTGTCCTTAGACTGTGAAGCATGTGAGTTTGGTAAACACATCTGAACATTGTCGATGGCTGAATGGCCGAATTGGTGATTTGGTGGGTCACTAATTAAACCACATGCCGGTTGACCCATCACATATTTATACAGCAACAATCTGCATAGTAAAATATCATAAATGGGGTGGGTGTAGAGACCTTACCCCTACTTATAAAAATAGAGGTTTCTAAAAGATCCCACGGCTCGAGCACGCAAAAAGGAAAAAAACACAAAAAACACACAAAAGAGTGCACAGAAGCACAAACTAACCATCACATATTAATACAATTGATACTTTCGAGCTTTGAGGGGCAACAAAGGAGTCCAGTTTATTCAGAAGATTTTTTGTCCAATTGGCGACTCAAGAAAACCAGAAGCACATAACATTCCGATCCTCTGTTCCTTTTAGCACTTCCACTTCCATGCCATATCCTCCCCACTTCCATCATCCAATTTGGGGCTTTTTTTCCTTTTCTTTCAATTGAGCTGAAGAATCTATAGTGAACCCAAATACTCTCACTCTGTTCCAAAAGCAAGGCCTACAACTACATGTTCAGAGGAGGGAATGGTCACCTTCCCAGACTCTTTATCAGCGAAGGCGGAGGAACATCAATTGACCTCCGGAGTCAAAGCCGACTAAAAGGAAATGACATTGAAGTCCCTGAAATGTGATACCAATTGATTATATATATGTGTGTGTGTATGTATGTATGCATATATATATATATATATATATATATATATGTATGTATGCATGCATGCATGCATGCATATATATATGCACTGATTGTGGAAAATGTGAAAATTGGGACCACATGTGGAAATGACCTAATACTCGTGGGGCCAGAAGTGGATTTCTTTCGATTATATATTTCCCCTATGAGGCTTATGCCTTGACTCACTTTGAAACTTAAGCCTCATGAAGCTAAGTCATGCTGATTATAGCTTTTTTAAAACCATAAGTTCAAAAGAATATGACAGAAAAATAGGAAAAATATTTTAGGAAAACAATTAAAAACAGAAAATGAGGAGTAAAAGGTTCCCGCAGGAGTTTTTCTCAGGGTGGTCACCAGAGGATGATTGTCATTGTGACATTTTTGTTGGGGGGAATGGTGTACGGAGCAGCACTACTGAATTTTAAACAAAAACGAAAAACAACTGCAATTTGCATTTAGTTTGAGCCTTTTAAGGATCAACCTTTTCGGTTCTGTCCTGGGTTGCAACTTGCACGACCTTTGTTCTCCCACCGCACAGTCATGACTATCATGCGTTACACACATGTGGTTGATTCCATAGCCTTCCACGTAAGTGTCTTGATGCTATCAGCATGAAATGTTAGCCTGCTTATTTTCTCCCACTGCTTTTTGCTGTAGCTCCATCATGACTGCTTTTTGACAACACCATCATAATTTCTTTTAACAGTTTGAGCAATAGAAAATGATGATGATGTTGTTGTTGTAATAGAAATTGATGAATTTTTTTCTGACATTTTGCAGATGGTTAAACTGGGAAGACCCCTTAATCAATCAGGAACCTTGGTCGGATAATAATGTGGAGGATAAGAACCTTTTGAATATTGTTCATCAAAAGGGGCTCAGTAACTGGATTGATATTGCAATATCCTTGGGAAGTAACAGGACTCCATTTCAGTGTTTAACACGCTATCAAAGGAGTTTAAATGCTACAATTATTAAAAGTGAGTGGACTGAGGAGGAAGATGATAAACTGAGAGAGGCTGTGGAAGCTTTTGGTGATAGTAATTGGCAGGCTGTTGCTGCTACCCTCATAGAGCGGACAGGTACCCAGTGCTCCAATAGGTAAGTTAGCTTTTGTGATTGTTATATCTCATGCCTTCTTGTGGAGGTTGAGATTATCAAACTATCCTATAAGATGATGTCATTAAGCCATCCCAATTTGGCTGGATCAATACTCATTAGTTTAATCCTAGAATTATGCCCCATGAAGGTTACAGTTGAAAGGACCTTCATGAAATCTAAGTTTTCTTGTTTATTTTGCCTAATGTATGTTGAAGGTAGTCACATGTCAGATGTCACTTAAAGTATATTTGAGGCATGAGTCATATTGGCACAAGTAACTGACTAAATGGTGCAGTTGCAGGACTCTTGTATGGTGATATTTTATATATCTATAGTTGGCAAAATCAGACATGTGGAGTGAAATGTAAAACAGAAGTTTTGAAGAATTCTCTCTCCCCTTTTTTTATTTTTAATTTTACAAAAATACTATGTATGTTGCTAACTTCATATCCAACACTACAAGAGAAAGAAGTAATACAAAATAAAGCGGGTAAAGAAGCTGTTAAGTAGTTGCAGCAAATAGCAACGCTTTTGAGTTCAAACTCTACGTTATTTGCTATCAGTGTCTTCAGCAATATACTCGAGGGAATTGATTCATCAAATCATGCAGATGGATTAAAACCCTTAACCCTGCTCGGGAGAGGGCTGGGAAATGGACTGCCGATGAAGATAAACGCTTGAAAGTTGCTGTAATGCTTTTTGGGCAAAAATCTTGGAAGAAGCTAGCTGAGAATGTACCTGGGCGTACTCATGTGCAGTGTAGGGAAAGGTAATTTCTATGCATCTCAGCTTTTCTATTAATTATGTGAATGGACTGAAGAATAGGATTTAAATTTCTCCTTGTTGCAGATGGGTCAACTGCTTAGATCCTGCATTGAATTTAAATAAATGGACTGAAGAAGAGGATTTGAAGCTGGCAGCTGCAATTGAGGAACATGGATATTCATGGTCGAAGGTTGCTACCTGTGTTGCCCCACGCACTGATAGTCAGTGTAGGAGGTATGCGTCACGATTCATAACTGAGAAAAAGCTATATAAAAGAACACGAACACCTAGTGGGGCCAATTTGCTCTTCGAGGGCTTTGGCAATCTACCCAATTTTCAATTTTACTAGTAAAATGTATGCTAGTAAAGTTCATTTTAGTGGTAAAACGTTTACCACCCTTAGAGATGTCTGTGTTTTTGCTATCAATAATACTTTACCAAATCAAAATTGCAACAAAGTGTGGTAACCATTTTACAACTTGAATTTAATGGTAAAATGCCACTTTACCCTGCTTTCATATGAGCGCTTAAGCTGTTACTTTATCAATTATGCTTCTCAGTCCCTTTATATAAATGTTTTATATTGTAGGCGATGGAAGGTGCTATATCCACATCAAGTTCCTTTGCTGCAAGAAGCTAGAAATATACAAAAGGCTGCATTCATATCCAACTTTGTCGAAAGGGAGACTGAACGACCTTCCCTTACACCGATTGACTTTGCTCAAGTACCATTACTCCTAAATGTATCTCGATCTGAAAATTTCGGGAAATGGAAGATAGGACCAAAGTATGACATAGCACCAAGGTATGCTACTACTGCCCTCTTAAGCTGAATTTCCACAAGTATATCAACTACTCACTGTCTTAACTCAGTAATAACAACAACTCAGTTAAATCCCACAAGAGTAGGGTCTGGGGAGGCTGTGTGTACGCAGACCTTACCCCTACTCGAAAGTAGAGAGACTGTTTCCAAAGAGACCCCCAGCTCAACGTCGAAAGTTGCATTGCTTGACTAACTGCTACTTCTTTAATTAAAGAAGTGCAGACAGTTTAGAGATCCATTTTGATTTATTCCATCACACCCCACACCCCAAAGCCAAAAAAATGGTGAAATTTTGGCTCCATCGGAGATGGATTGCATAACTCAGTAATGTTTATCTTTATTGGCTGGATTGCATATTGCACAACAAGCTTATCAGGTCGACAATTCGAGTTGAGTCGCAAGAGAAGCGACTGGTGGACTAGTCGACCAACTAATCCACAACTAGTTGATATAAAATACTCCATATGATGATACTCCCTCTATCACAATGTATTTGTCCACTTTCTTTTTGGTACACGGACCTGTGAAATGAAAATAAAGGTCAAATTTCAGAAAAATGTCCTTACTTTATGGGTAGTGGGTAATGTCAATTAAATAATTGATCTTGATATGAGGCTAAATAGGTCATTATAACATTTATTATTTTACCATGAATGAAAAGTGGACAAATACATTAGGATGACCCTAAAAAGAAAACTCAACAAAGACATTGGGATAGAGGGAGTACGAATTTATGAATAATATTAATAATCATATCCATCCATTCTAAAAACTCAAATGCACTAATAAGAGGTGCTTGGTTCATATCAATCTGCTTTATTAGTTTTAATTTTGCAGGAAAATGTCTTCACATTCTCCAAGAACAGTTAATCTCATGGATGTTGCGAATCGCGGAGATAGTATCACTATAAATAAAAGTAAAAGGAGCAAGCGGAAGCTAAAAAGAAAAATGTGCACTGACCATGAATCAGAGGGACCACCAGCGGTGGGTGTTGCTAAGAGGAAAAGGAAGACTTCTAAATTGCCTTCCAGAAAGAAAGGAAAACACGGACATTATGAAAATGCTCCAGAGCTTTCTGCTAGCGATGAGGTTGAGACAACATTTGGAGAGGGTATTACATTTAAGAAATCTACTGTGGGGGGAACGGGGTTGGACTTCAGGAACAACAATGATGCAAACCAAAACTCTTCACCTTGTTCACGTGGCCGGAAAACTATCAAGTCTTCTTCTAAGAAAGGTAGAATACCTTGTTCAAGAAAAAAATGTAATGATCCATCTCTTGGCCAAGGTCATCATCCCTTACCTACTTCATCATCATATATTAGCAAAGGCAAATATACTGTTGATGATGGGGGTGGAAAAGATTGGGAAAATGCTTGCCCGCATAATGGGCAACGTGCTTTACAAAAATTATCTGGAAGCCTCGAAAATGGATTACCGGGGGAGCGATATAATTATTCTTCACTGTCCTGTGAATCTAATACTTGCATAAAGTCTTGTGATAGATTGGAAGATGAAATGCCTCTGGCTCAGTTTATCAATAAAGTGAAGAGAAGAAGGCTCGATCCTGCTGCCATCATCAGAGGATGAACTTGCATTTTGTTCAACTTTTCAATTTAATGAGAAAGCAAGGGATCGAGGCTCGAGCCTTATAAATGGTAACCGTTGCAAAACCCGCACTAGATATTGTTGAGTATACGTTATTTTTTGTTTGCCGTCTTTTGTAAGGCTGGCAGGCCTGATGTTACACTAATGAGTTTCAGTTCTCAATCAGTTGTATAGGGATACATTTTTGACACACATCTTTTGGTTGGCAAGTGTGTTGAGTGGGGGTGTTAATGTCTATGTTGTGCCATGCTGTTTTTGGCTGTATTTCTAGTTTAGGCACTGGCATTTTTTGAATAGATGTTTTGGGTTGTAAGAGTATAAGTGCATTTTTGATGCGTTTTTTTCCATGTAATTATTTATACTCTTTCTTCTACCTATTATATACTTCAATTCGTTGATACTACTCCCTTCGTGTTAGAAAACTTTTTCCGTTTTAACTTTCTTTTAGTCAAGTAGTGATACTTTGTGAGTCTGTGAACGTAAATTGTGATATATATATATATACACATACATACATACATACATACATACATACATATATATATATATATATATATATATATATAATTGTAATGTAAATTCAAACATGAAAGATTTTTTAGAACCTGGGAGTAGTTAATATCAAGATTGATATTGGTCGGCTCGGCTTTGCAGGCATATATTATCACAAACTTCATTCATATTTATTTTGGGCTGTTAAAACTGTGGGAGCACCCTCTCAAAATGAGGGGGGCTTGTGCGCAGCGAGTAATGGGAGTTGAGCCATCATTATTTTTCCCTGCAATCTTGTCGGGTCGGGGCAGTGTGCACTTGTAATAGGTGATTCTACCTCTTGATAGAAGTTACTCTGTTCATTTTTTACGAGTAATTTTTTAACTTGAAGCGAGTGATGATTCTCTTTAGGACAAATACTTTGGCGGACTTTAGGTTTATCTTAATTTTGTGGAACTTCTTTCAAACGTTTAACATTTTGAATCCATCAAATTAAAGTTATGTGAGTAGGTTTAGATGTGGAACTAAGGACCATCAAATCACTACTCTCTTTAGAGGCTAGTTCTTTGCCGTTCTTGTGTTCAAAACTAGGATGGACATAGTTTTGAGTATGCCTTTCCATGAGAAGGGTTTGAGCCGAATACGGTCATCCATACCCATTAAAGATTATGTGTTACCACCTCGTACTCGTTTAACCAATGAGTTGATCTTATCACTTAAATTTATACTCATTAAGTCTCGATACAGGATCGAGTATATCCGTGATAGAACTTGATGAGATAATACTCACTTTGGCCCCTGAGAGTGAACTCACAAGTCAATTTGGTCCTTATAAGTTTGGTTAAGTCGAGTTAGTCTCTTTAACTAAAAAATGTGAATCAAATTAGTCTTTGAGATAAAATTTATTAGTTAAAATTATGAGATGTCACACTAATTGATGCAAGAACAATTACCCAATGTATTAGTTTCTGTGTAAATTAACGTGCTAAGTTAGAATTTTAGTAGATATACTAATTTGATTCATATTTTATAGTTATATGGACTAATTTGACTCAACCGAATTTGCAGGGCCCAAATTAACTTGTGGGTGAACTCACAAGGACAAAATTGACTCGTGATTTTTTTTTAATTTTTTGCGTTACTTTGACTAACTATATATACAAAAATATACAATGACTTAAAATATAAAAATTACCATATCATAATGTTAGTATTAGAAAATACTTACTCTCTCTACTCCGGAGTGTTAGTCCTGTTTTGACTTCTTACAGTTAATCATAACCAACATTTAACCTATAGTTAAATACAAATTATATGATATAATTAGATAAAACAGTATGTTGAAAATATTTTACATGATAAATCTAATTATATTCAAAGTTTGTCAACTTTGATTACAAAAAATCAATACGGGACAATCACATGGGGACATGGGTAGTATAATATACTCCTCCTACCCGAAATAAAATTACTACCACCGTTCGAGAGTATTTTTTTAGTTTTGATACAAACAAAATAGACAACTTTTAATCATAAATTAAATAAAATTGATATTAATTGTTGATAAAAATAATAATTTTATTAGCTTCATCTTGTGAAATATTTTCAAAATACAGAGGATTATTTTTTAAATTAAAATACCATTTAATTTTTTATTTATATATAGGTCAATGGTTATTTCTAGTTGACTCCAAAAAAGTCCAAATTGGACAGAACTTTAGGATGGAGGGAATATATATTTAAAAAAATTTATAAAACAAGAAGTGACTTTACTATTTTATTTTAACAAATGATTAACGAAAATAAGTACAAAAAGAAGAAAAAATTTAACCGATGAGTAATGGAGTATGACAATTAATTCAAGACTAGGGGAGTATCATTTTAAATTATTTTTTGCTAATACGGTATATTTTAAGAGATATTGCGGGTCAAATGTTCGACACGGAAAACGAACCCGACAATTAAAAATGTATGGAGGGAATACCCATTATGAAGTTAGAGGTAATGAAGTTATCTCAAAACAAATTCTCCTCTTTTCTTTTTTGTTTGTCCCAAAATAAACTTTTCAATTCTTTTGAGGTAATCAATGAATGATTTAGATTACTTTATTTCTTTTCTACATAAATCTCAACTACACAATTTATTTTTATTTAACATTGTGAAAAAAATACTTTAAACCGCAGAAAATAATTTTTAGTTTAAAGACTAATCCCGTCTTCATAAAAATAGAGACGTTTTAGGATAGGGGTCCGATTAGGACTGGTCCAAGTCCGGCATGGTCTTTATATTTCAAAGGTATTGCGACTTTATCTAGTCTTAATCTGGTCTCGGTATTGTCTTTCAAAAAAAAAACACCTGGCTTGAAATTAGTATAATCCTTTTCCAAAATTTAAAGATCAAATGAGACTACCAATACAAGATCGAACAGGTCTCAAGGACCACCACTTTGGTCTAATATTTCCTAATCCAAATTCTAATATATCCCCATCTTTTTTTGTTTTAGTCCTAACCATTTTGCTCATGTTTGTTGGAATTTTTGACATTTTTAATAGGCATTAAATGGACCAACTTGGGTATATTTGTCAATAGGTGCACTAACGGTTTTAACCGTTAATTAACGGACGTGTATTCTCTTAAATGAGATAAATGTTTTGATAATTTATATGCCAAAAATGGTAGAGGGTGAATGAGAAATTGATTCTTAGAGTTAACCCGTTAATAGAAGAATTTGGTAAGGATTGCAATTTTTTGCAATTTTACTGAACTAATCTTCTATTATTAATTTTACTTATTGTTTAAAATTAGTCCATTTTTATGGAGTTAACTGGTCATTAATCTCCAATTATTCAGGACAAATTTTAAACGGAGCGTAGCGTAACGGACGTGTTAATGGCTAATTAATCACCATTAACACGTCATTAGTGTGCCACAAATGCCATGGATTAATGGTGTAGGAGTTATATTTTTTCAAATTCCCTTATTATAAAAACAAATCAAGGGAGACTCTCCATCATGGGTGTTTTCATACGTGAGGAAGGGAAAAAAAAGGGAAATACTTTCTTGTTTTTTTAGAGAGCTCTTGATTTTCTGGCCAACTTTCCGGCAATCCCCTTCAAAGTTTTTTTTTTGTCGCCAATGTTTCTACGTTGTTCTTGTTCGTTGGTGTATGGTTGGTCCGTACAATCTCCACACACAATAGCGGTTTTATCCTGGGAGGAGAGTGCCCACGTTTTTCCGGTACGATAGGCGGGCACTACTACCTTAAGGACAGTTCCGGCGACTCCGCTGTCCTTTCACGGTGTTTTATTTTGCAGATTTAGTTCATAAAGACCTTGCTACATTCTGCCCTATGACATAATGTCCTTGTTGTCCAGTGCATAATGTCCTCGCAGCCCTGTGCATAACGTCCTCACTCTCCAGTGCATAATGTCCTCGTTGTCCAGTGCATAATGTCCTCGCTGTCCAGTGCTTAATGTCCTCATACAACAAGGATGTTTGAAGATATAGAAATTTATCTTCAACTTGTTTATTTTGTAATATTCTGAATAAGTTAAAAATTCAAAATTTTATTTAATTTTATTTTCTGGGGCTGTTCATATTCCGCGTCCGTTGTAATCCGTACAAAAATTGTAACAATGTGTACATCATTTATATTACTCCGTATATTGGTGGACTAAAGTTAATGCTTTTGCATAAATTTTTTTTAAGAAAAAAAAAACAAATTATTGGGTAGAACCTCGTGGGGAGTGGTGGGGCTGAATTTATGGTTTTGGTAGTTTTTTTCTCTCCGAAACTTTGGATCTTTGAATGTTTCACCAGTACAACAACTACCTAAAGAATGAAATGGTCACATGAAACCAAGGGGATAAACTAATGTTTTTTTAATAGCCAGCCTTCTAACGCCAAGAAATGAAAATTAAAAAGAAATCCACTTACTTTCCATTGAAAGCATAGCATATTAGTGTTCGTTGCCTTTGTTTGGTTTTGTTGTTTCTTGGCTGTGGTGTGTGACTTTCAGGGAATTAAAATGTCAGATAGAGAGGATGACGTGAGTTCCGAAGTTTCATCGGTGGGCGATGTTCACGACGATCATCATCGGATGCGCGCCGCTTCGCTGGACAGCGATCTTCGTGGGACCAAACGCACTCCGGGTTCGCCGGAAAAGGGACGCCTTTTCGGCCGCCAAAAGCCCGTCCATGCCGCTCTCGGCGGAGGAAAATGTATGTACACACCCTTGCCCTTCTTACCTTAATACTCCCTCTAAAAAAAACTTTTTCCTTTCTTTTCTGCATAAATTTCTGTATTTTTTTCTTAAATGCCGTGAAAAAATAAAATAAAATTTCTTCTAGGGACAAAGGGAATAAATCCATGTGATATCATCATCACCATCAACGTTACTCTATAAATACGTCAAACGTTCAACTGCTACAAAGTTTAGCTCGGGCTTTACTTCTTTTTTTTTAAACCAGCCCGGGCATAACTTTGTTGGTAGAAAGGGTCAAAAGGTGTAATGCCAGTTTGACTCCTGAGAATGATGAAAAATGACCATGCATAGTATGAAATCATGTTTGCACGTACCAAAAACAAATCTCATTCTCTATTTATCAGTGGATTAAAGCTCAATTTACCTCCTCCAAGCTACTGTCGAATCCAATGGGGTTTATTCTTTTCTCTTTCTTTTGGGTCAAACATATAGCTGCTGATATTATATTGTGGAGGAACAAGAGGATATCGGGAGGGGGCCTAGCTGGAGCAACAGTCATATGGCTTCTGTTTGAGTGGATAGGCTACCATGTTCTTACTTTTCTTTGCCACTCTCTTATACTTACATTGGCAATCATGTTTCTTTGGTCCAACCTCTCATCCTTTGTCAACAAGTAAGCCATTCTAACATCCTAGCTCATTGAAAACAACACAAAAATATCACCATTGTGATTTATTTGCAATCTTGGTTTTCTACCTCTCTTTGAATACATAAAGAACTTTGCAAAACCATACCGTATTTGTTTGTTGGCAAGGACCCCACCGGAGTATCCTGAGCTGGTGTTGCCGGAGGATATGTGCAGGCGAGCAGCGCTCTATGTGAGAGATCAGTGCCATTGGGCAATTGGTCTTTTCCGGGAAGTGGCTTCAGGGAAGGACTTAAAGAAATTCCTTTATGTATGGAACTTCTTTTTCACCCTTTGTATCGTCTTGTTTATATGCACACAGCTGACATTTGTAGAGAACTTTTGTATGTGTTTAAACTATAGGCAATTATCGGCTTGTGGGTTGTTTCTGCCATTGGCAGCTGGTTCGACTTTCTCACCCTAGTATACATCGGTGAGTTTCTCTTCTTTCTTCTTCTTCTTCTTCTTCTTCTTCTTCTTCTTATACTATCGTATGGTAATAAAAGTCCCGCTACAATGACATCACCCATGAGGCACCGCTAGTCTCTCATAGACACACACGGACAGTAATTGACTGATTGTATCTATGTGCTCTACTTTCGTATCAGAAACCAAAAGAAATGTGGATTATTTTTTTGGTGAGATAAATAGATAATGAAGTAATGAACTACCCTATAATAAATAGAAAGGCGCGCTAAAATCCATACAAAGTGGAAGAAACTAGGGCTTTTTTAGGAAGGAAAAAAGCATTTCTTTTTCTATTTTGGTGATATGGCTGAGTGGTAAGGCGTCATAACGAGGCAACTGATATCTTTATCTGTGTTAACTGGGCAGTATTTGTTATGCTGTTGACTGTGCCTATATTCTACGAAAAGCACGAAGATCAAGTTGACGCTTATGCAGACAAAGCGAAGAAAGAATTAAAGAGACAGTACAGCCAATTGGATGAAAAGGTTCTTCAGAAACTACCCAAGGTTCATTTTGGTAAAGACACCAAGGAGCACTAATCCAACTTGTCTTCAATATAATTCATTTCTCATGCCAGTATAATCCTCTATTTCTTTTCTTTAAAGTGTGGTTAATTTGCCATTCTCACATTCTGTTTACACTTGAGTTACTTTAGTTACTTTGATTGTAAAGAGTTACCCATTCGACCGTTAGAAACTAGCAATGTTAGTAGAGAAATAACAAAGTCAACCTAATCTTTTTAACTCATTCAAAAAGATGAAATAATAGAAGTTTAAAAAGCTTGCAGAAATATGACTACAACTACACCAAAGTAGAAACAGATTGCAATTCATTTATACAAATGAAACGCAAGAAATTAAACACAAGTTAGATACACATTTTACCTCTTCAGATATACTAGAGGTTGGGCTTCTGAAATTTTGTCAACTCCCAAAACTAACAATTGTTCACCAGCTTTGCCAACATACAAAATTTTGGAAGAAGTGATTCATACCTTCTGGGCATGAGATCCTGGCAGCAAGAATGGCTCCCACCATCCAAACTTATACTTGGGGTATGGTGCGGTCCAATTCTCCGGTTTCTCAAACTCAAGTTTAGTAGGGGTAGAAGCCAAGGCTTCTTCTACACTATCAGCCTCAAAACAATCTTGTAACACTCTGTCTAATCTTAGCTTCATGAACCTGCAAAAACAGTCAAAACAGTGTATGAGATAAATTACATTTCACTGCATCTAAGGGTATGCTTGGATCTCGGAAAATGCTGCACTGAGGAACATAAATGTTATACAATTACTTTGTTTATGCCTAAATTCATTTTCATTTGCTCCCACATTTTATTTCTTTCTATCGTCCCCTGTGTTCTCCTTCCTATTTGTTTCCATAGTGTTTAAAAATATCCAAAACGTAGGGCAGATCCCAATAAATATCAAAATGTGTTCTTCCATTCGAACTTTTTGGAATGAAATTTGGAAAGATGACTGTTACTTGATCCAAGAGCCATTGGTAGAAACTAGAGCCACCGCAGGTCTCTTTAGTCTCTTAGTAATGTCGGGGAATTTGTCCAAGAACTTGGGCTCAATCACAAGCCAGAAATCTTGTTCCTTTTGACGCTCTCCATAATGCCTCATACGCTCCGATAATTGCTCCTGAAAATGCTCCTCCTCATCCAGCATGAATTTTGCATTTGCAACAAGAAAATAATACTTTTTCCTTTCTGTTCCTTGCTGTCAATAAAAAATCCACAAGCCGGTTTTCAGTCAATAAATAAATATATAAAAATGAACAAGTAGTTATATTATACATCCAACAAATGAGCATTTCAGAACTAAATATGAGCTTTTTTAGTCGCTAGGGCTGGTACATTGAATGTCGAAGCCATACCAGCAACTAAATGAGCAGTTTTACAAGAGAAATGAGCATAATAATACAAACACAACAAAATGTCTAAGAGACCAAAAAGACATGGGATGGACTCATTCGGAACCATAATGCTCATGTTGTCCAAAAGAACTACAAAAATATCACAGGTTGTTCATATTTCCATTCTGTCTCAAAGATTGAGTCCTATAAGAATTTCAAATCATACAAAAAGGAAAACCCTAACTTGATTCAAACCCTAGCAAAAAAATTTAACAGAGATTTCATTTTATCAAATTAAAGAGGAAATTCAGCTGCCTTGTAAATAAAAGGGGGGAACCTTTTCTGCAGTAGGGGAGGATTCTACAGCGGCTACAGCGGTTTTCACATGATTTCTTGAGTGCTTTAGCACAACGCGCGGCGGAGCAGACGATGAAATGGGCGGAAACCCATAGAGCGAAGAAGAGAGCTTGCCAGATTTGTGTGCCGGGAATTCCTTGACGGGACCGGCGGCGAAAGAGCCTAGATTCAGGGCCGTTGAAGCTAGCATTGCTGCGAATTTTCAGTGTGAAAGGAGATTAGCTATGGTGTTTGGTGTTGTTTTAAGCCTGTAGAGTAAAAGGCCAATGAAAAGGGGATAGATGGCGATGGCGCAAGGAAACTGTGGGCGAAAGAGCCAACCGTATCTCCTTCCTTCTCCTTTTCTCCTTATCATGTCACCATTTGGAAAAAAAAAAAAGAAATGTTACAAATGATTAAAAAATAAAAACTTCTACAAGTAAATAGTACGTATTGTGATACTTGTAAGTATTTTGTATACAACTCTAAGATATTTCTTTGCAAAATGGAAAAGGTTTGAGAGTGTTATGTAAGCATCATATTGTATTGTCTACGTGCGCCTCTCTTTGCACAAAACGCCAATTTCACTCCCTCTTTTGGATAGTCTTCTGACTCCTCAGCCACCCCGCCCATCAAGTGTTTCTCTTTACTTCTGTACTAGTGCATATTTCCTTTGACAGATGCATTAAATTTGATTTATTTTCTCTCATCGCACATACGATTTAACTAGCTACAAATCTACTTACAATGTCAAACCTTTCAAAATTTGAATTTCTCAAATTTGATATCTTGGAAAAATGCTTCCTCACATAGACATTAGATGCCAAAATTCACCTTACGACAAAGAACTTGAGAGATACAATTTGGGAAAGATATGATGCTTCTGTTCAAGATAAGAAAAAAGCCATGATATTCCTCTGCCATCACCTCTATGAGGACCTGAAGAGGAAATACCTCACTGTTGATAATCATTATGAATCATAGAAAAACATTCAAGAGTGCTTTGATCACCAGAAGTTGGTCTAATTGCTAAAAACTCGCTATCAGTGGCTCCACCTAAGACTAAAAGCCCACAAGATTACATGTATGTCCCTAATTACCATTATGTACTTTTTAGCATCAGTTTTGTTATGAAGTTATGCAGAGAGCCAGTGACTAATAAAAATTTGCTTGAAAAGACTCTTTTCATGCTTCATACAACTAACATGCTCTTGTCTTATCAATTCAGAGAACGTGGGTTCCCCAAGTACTTTAATTTAATAGCATGCATATTATTTGGAAAGCAAACTAAAGAACTATTAGTCCAAAATCATGAAGCACGACCAACTCGTACAAGCCCATTCTCTGAAGTGAATGTTGCAACTACTCAAAGTGTTAAAGAGAGACAAAGGTCTTGGCCTTAGTAGAGGTCGTGGTCGTGGATGGAGCAACACATGGCAGCGAGATTTTTTTAATCCTAATAACTCTAAGGGATAAAAAGAATCACAATTATACTGGACGACACCGAAGTGATAGAGCTAAGGAAGATCGAAATGTCTTGTGCTATAAGTGTGGCATAACCAACCATTAGCCTTGCACATGCCGCACTCCTAAGAATTTTGATGAATCCTATGATTGAATGCTAAAAGAAAATGAAAAGGAAAAACACATCGAGACAAATCTTATTGATATCTTTCTTTAACCAATCTCTCCCATGCCAACAAATGTCCACCTAAATGCGTATAATTTCATAGAGAAATATTAAAATAATACTCCTTAAACATTTTATGGCATTGTTCTAGACAAACACTTCTTTGGTTTTGTTACAAACTCTTTGGATATCCTTTCTTTCGAATATTCATACTTGTCTTTCTATTTAATGTTTTATGTGATGTTTTATTGAATCAATACGTATTAATAATCATTATTCTTAAAGAATTATGTTAAGCCATAAAATCTCTCGATACCTTTCCATGTATAGAAGTATAGAGTCTATGAATAAGGATCTAGACATTATGCCCACAAAAGTCAAAAAGCCTAAGTATCTTATTGATACAAATATACATTAAAAACATTGCTATAGGTAACACTACTTTCTATTAAAGTTTATTTTTCATTGGTCTCTATATTTGTCAAAAAAATAATTGAAAGCTCTAAAAGAGACACTTTCTTGTTCCCAAAAGGAACAATGAGTTTAATAAGTGATGACTTATATTCTTGAATTTATTGAGCTTCATATGCCCGGGATAAAGTGAAGAATATTTATGTGAACCACTTATAATAAATAAAATAAAAGCTGAAAATTTTAACGGGCAAAGGCATTATATTTTATTTGAGTTATTGAATGTGTATGTTGAATAACCAAAAGTTCACACAACGATAAATAGTCTTTGATATGGGTGGAAACTATTCTGAATTCATGTTTAAAATTTGTGTGTACCCATAAAGAATTTGCAAATTCACAAGCTGCTTATCACTAAGGCAAATAAAATAGGTTATTCCCCATATAAAATCATCAATGCTACACAAAAGGGTGATGTATATATTTTCTAGCATAACTTTGATAAAATCGCTTCAACAAATTGCTAGAACAATAAAATAAAATTGACTACTACTATTTGGAATATATTATGCAGCAACACCAACAACAACAATAACAAAGTCTTATCCCGCTAGGTGGGATAAGCTATATGGATCAAATGACGCCATTGCACACAATTTATGACAAAGACTAACTCCCTATCAATTTTAAGTAAAACTGCATGCCATTTATAACAAAGTGATCCACCACATCTCATAAAGATAGTTTTACTAATTGAAAGCATGGGAAGTTAGCTAATAAATTCAAATCATCATCGAATGCTGTCTGCAGCATTAAAACTCGAATCAATTTACTTCCCAACTTCAGAGGAACAAAGGCGAAAATAAAATGCTAGTAGCTAGAAAAATGTCCATTTTGAATGCATCTCATTGATCCTCACAGAATTTTATTGAATGCTCAAATTGTTATCAAATGTGTACTTTTTTTCTCACATTATAGAAATATCTAAAGGGAAGTGTGATGTAATTATCATATTGTATGTATATTTACTTGCCCACGCTTTAGGCACATATAGGTTTATCTTCTCAAGCTAGATTTACTCTTATATATAGACCCCCTCTCATTGTATTATGCACATCATCTAATAGAAAATCAGATAATAACTACATTGAAAAACTTACTAAAATATAAACACAAAGAATAACTACATTGAAAATTTTACACCAATCCTTTCAAATTTTACCTACTAAATTTCGCATTGCTACTCTAGTCTGGGCCAGTCAACTTCAAATTTAATTATGTGAAAGTATTTTGGTTGATATAGTATATAAAACAATGACAACGCATGTAAAGTAATATAACTACATTGGATATCGTTTCAATTTTTTGAATAAATTAATTAATGCTAATTACTTTTTGAAAGATGAATGTGTTTAATTAATTACTAGTTTCAATTATGTTTCTTTATTAAATTATTAAAAGAAACTCAAATAACGTCCAATTTTATTACTTTAGATGTGTCGTCTATTCAATATTTTCAATGTCACGTTAGCTAAAAAAAATCATGTAATTACGTACAAGGATTACTGAGCTGTGCTAGAGTAGTGATGTAAAATCTGATGATTTTTCAAAGTATTGGCGTGCAAAAGAAAATTTGGGAGTATTATAATCGTCTAAAACTAGGCGTATTGGTGTAAATTTTTTCTAATCACATGTTTGGAATTGTCTATATTTTTAGTGTAAAAAATGGTATTTATGGTATGGTAAATGTACACCATTGGCCTTTCTCCTCTCAAAACTAACTTTATTTTCCCTCTTCGTTCAACATACTACACCGCTTCATTTAGATCGCTTTATACCATTTTTAACATATTGAATTGTTTTTTACTAATATACTCCTCATATCATATATTTTAACCTGTTTTCTACTCCGTATATAAGTTAAATTGAAAATAAATTCAATCAATCATAGTCACTAGATATTCACAAATTCCAATCTTTTTTATTTTTCTCTTCAAATGGATATAGTTTTCTAAGAAATGCTAGGTGAAATGTATGAGAAGTGCTCATTGCAAAAAAAAACATTTCTAATTGCATGTTAACCGTGCTTGTAAGTGGTAACACACTTATACACGGTTTAGTTTTTATGAGTCACATGGAGCATTGATGTAAGATTTCAAAACCACGAATGTCGAAGAGTAACATAATTTTGAAAGCATAAGAAATAACAATCCACACTCACCATGTAGGAAAGGTTTATATAATCTACAGAGTTACACGCTACTCAGGTGCAGGCGTGACCACATTGAATGTAGCACGTGAAACTAATTTATTTTTTTAAAAAAAAAAGGATGACGATAAATTTCAAACTCGTGATCACTACCATGTCAAAAATGCAAATTTGTGGTTGTGGTCGCATGAAAGATTTTTTATACTCCGGGTAATATAATTGAGAGGGAGGTATGAATGTCATTAGTCAAATAGAGGGAGTCATCATACTAAACAATGGATGGTCGGGGTGACATGGCGGGTGGATGCTGGGAACAGAGAGATTAAACATCTCGCCGTTGAGGACATGTGATTTTCAGTCATTCCAGACATGGAAATTCCGAACGAGTGTATAAGGGAAATGAAGTCTATAAATTATTAAATCTGTAAGTAAGTTTATTTGACCTTACATTTTAGCCAAATACAGAGTGATATTCAGTTTAGCCAAAACAATCATCATGTTGTTTCTGAGCAGCGGGAGTTCTTTCCAACAGAATAAATCCTTCACCTTCTATATTGTAAACAAATATGATGAAAAACTTGAGCAAAGCAGGTTAAGGTTCACTCCCTTTCAAGAAAATGGAAGAGCTACATAAAAAGTACGAAGCAATCGTGGTCTCATTAGGTTTTTTTTGCATTTTGGTGAAAATGAAGGTGACACATTTTCACCAAAACGCTTATAACGAGCCAAACACGGCCCAATTATTTATATACCTTCTAATGGCCATGTAGCATTTCCTCCAGCTCGAGATCTACGCCCATCTTGCGATTAATAGAGTTTGATCCATTCTGGGGTAACATGCATTTCTTCTGCAGCTCCACGAACCTCTGAATGTCGAAATTCTGCCTCCTGATGAGCTTCCTTCGTCTAGAAAGGAAGAGCCTCTTCAGCATATCTTGGTAAGTTGGGTCCCTTGAAGTGAACAGGAAGTAGGCATACCCTATGACTATCCCAGTTGTGGTGGTGAAAAATGCTATCGGTTCCATAACGTCCCAAGAGAATTCCCAAAACGTTAGGCGAAAGAAGAGGCTAACCAGAAGAATACCAGCCCCCAAACCTGTCCACAATATGAAGCGCACCTGTCGGTGCGCAAGCTTGTCGATTTGCTCCATTGTTTCCTGCAGTTTGTTCAGCTCATCTGTAGAGGGATCATCTTCCGGTAAAAGTGCAATCGGCATTGCCTTCCTAACTAGATCGACAACCTGAAGATATATAAACAAAATTAATAAATGCAGAATTCATTTCTTATGAGAAACTCTAATAACCAGGGAAAGCTTATGAAGGAAATTGAAATGTCCGTTTGCATATGCTAACAGAGAACATACAGAATTGAATTCATCCCAACACATTGATGGCAAGTTTGGTTCAAAGGATCAAGTATAAATAAAGCATGTAAGAATCATCCCAACACATTGATGGCAAGTTTGGTTCGGGGTAAACTTATGTTCTTCATGGATTAACCTCGTTTATTAATCAATTTTATGACAACCTAGGCTCAATTTACCTCTGGCAACCCAAATCTGAAGAACCTTTGAATTGGAGAACCAAGGTTGACTTTAATGAGTTGGACAACCTAGGCTCAATTTACCTAGACTCATGCCCAATGGTTTACTCCCTTCCTACATGTTACATGACATCTTTAAATATAGCCGTAACAAAGAAGACTGTGGGTGGATATTACCTCCTCTATCTCAAAACTAAAGTCTCTTTTACAATTTACCCGTCAAACACTTTTTTCTTTATTCACTTAATTTCGTTAATCATTCGTTAAAATAATATAAGTTATATCAACTCTTATTTTATAGAGCATTTGATGTAATTTTCAAATATATAAATTTTAAATTAATTGAATTGAAAATGAATTTAGTCAACCATCGTAGTAATCCAAAACCCGGCTTTAGTTTTGAAACCAAAGGGAGTACAGAATTGTTTTAACTCCCTTATTCATCATAGAATACCACCCAATTCACTTGTAAGCATTACCAGAGACATTGAGACACGGAAAATGCTAGGGGTACACCAAAAGTGTACCCCAAACATCCTCCACACCCTCCATCACCACACAAAAAAGACAAGAAAATTTCAAAAAAAGTAAAAAATAAAAACAAAATAAAATGAATGGTGTAGAGGCAAGTGGTGTACATTTGGGGTACACCTTTGGTGTACCCCTAGCATATCCCTTGAGACACACATGTCTGTAGATAGGCACACCTTTTACGAAACATTGAGGGACCCAACCAAAATCACCAGTACAATTTCTTGATGTTGAAGATCTTAATCCTTCTTCCTTTCTCTCTCACTCTCTCAATTTGCAGATTTGATGCTCCGGACATTAATACGAACAGAAAATCTTACACAAAAAAAGGATCAAACAAATGAGTAACAGATACGGAGCAGATTAATACCTTATCAGGATGAAGATAAACCTTATCACGGAACAGCAAGACGACTCCGGCTTCATCCAGAACACGGGAAAATGCCTCCGCCTCACGGCGGGACTTGGCGACGCCCATGGCCTGACACTCTTCCAGAAGCTTCGAGTAGGGAATCACCTCCTTGTTCTCCAAACCTAGATTACTCTTCAGCGCCTCCACATTAACCAATCTCATCAGCCTTCTGGCCTCCGCCACCGATATCACCTCTCCGTTCCCTTCTCCTCTACCATTATCATCAGATCCTCCGCCTGCCGCTGCGGAGCCACTGCAATATCGCGATCCAGACAGTTTCTCCCCGAGGAAACAGCCGTAGCCACTGTTACTATCCCCATCCAAACGCCTGCTCGGCCATTTGCTCAATTTCGGAGCCGCCGGCCCGCTTCGTGCGGCGCTGTGCCGCAACAAATTAGACGATATCCTCCACATTCGGTTAGGAAGCTTGAAAGCGGAAAGTGGAAGAAAGCAGTATATCAAAGAGAACTACTCGTCAGGTATCATAGTAGAACTTACTGCGATGCAAGCCTTCGAAATGGTTACGCTTCATTGACACGACGGGGAACGCGGCGTTCGGCGGCGGAACCCGGTGGTGGTGCAAAGTTCGTTTTAGGTTTCGAATAAGATGCGCGTGGAAGGGAAAATGAAGAGAGAGAGAGAGGATTGCGATAATGACGGGCCCGTTAAGATCCAGTTTAAATTTTTAAACGGGGTTCGGGATCGCCAGAGACATCCCGCGAAATGCTTGCGTACGAGTACGACTGGGTCGATGAGGGCATTGGAAACGGTTTCTGTAACGGTACATGTTTTGGCACCCGTTGGATTGGAGAGAGGAACTTTAATGGGCCATCTTTGACCATTTTTACAAGGTCACAAAAATCACACACATAAGAATCACTTTCAAATGATAAATATCATAAAAATAAAATATTGTTTTTTTTCTAATTCCATTATAATAGGTGGAAACTGAAGGGCACTCTTTACTCTTAACATGTAAGTTGTAAAACTACATCTTTGAGGTTGACACGACAGGTCTCGCGGAGGTGCCAAAGTTAGAGCACTGGTAATGCTTATGAAGCTCCAGGGTTTCAAATCGAAGCATCAAACTTTTTTTCTGTCACGTCAGTTTTAACTTACCTCACAGATTCACTAAGAATGGGTTTGAAGCCACATGACTTCAAGCTGAAGCTTCAAATCTTTATTTTTTACATTTTAAATAAACTTCTTCTAAACTTAAAATAATAAAATTTAATTATTTATTTAAATTGAAACGAGAATAATTCATTAAAAAATTACATTCATTAAATTAAAAAAATTAAAATAAAAATAATTTATAAAAATTACATTCAATAAAAAAGAACATTTAATAAAAAATACATTAATAAAAAACTAAAGCAAATTATAGTTAGCCTTGATCTTTTTTTGTCTTCTCTCGAAGAGCATACGTTTGAAGCTCGAAAACGTATCAAGGTCAGTTTCTATTATTTCGATCTCTTCCTTTTGTTCCCTTCTTCTCTCCTTCTCTTCTTTTCTAATATTGAACACCTGAAGTTGTTCAACCATTGCCCGACCGATATCATCTTGAGAGGAAATAGAGCCGGACCATCCAAACTCCGAGGTAATGGATTTTGCCTTCTTTCTTTCGATCAGCTGTGGAATAAGGTCCTCGTCATCGGAATCATCTACGTTAAAGAGAGACCTTTGTTTGGACGAACCGATAGTGTCATCGACCTCAACCTCGGCCTCGGCGGAGGATCTTTTCTTTGAGGGTCCGGCATCGGGATTGTTGAGTAGTTGCCATTTCAGTGAACACCTTAAAATTCTCCAAAGATCAATGGGCACCTTGCATTGGTGCTCGTCGTCTTGATACTCGGCCGTGGCAAGCCAGAAAACTTCGGTGTCGTTCATCCCGCTCTTCCAGGACCGAGAGCATTCCTCGTAAACTTCGATAAACTTTCGAACTTTACAGTTGATGTGGCTCCATTTGGAAGTGAGTTGGTCTCGGGTACGGTACGAGGCTTCCTTGTTCATCGGCGCAAAGAACTTCTCCTCAATACGATCCCACATCGCATCCTTCGTTTGCTCCGAATCTTTAAAAAGTATATTATTAAACGAAATTTTTTTTTAAGACAAATATATAAATACGAACACAAATATATTAGAAAACATATATTTTTTGCCAACGATAGGATGCTCGGAGACGTCAACCCAAGCCGATGCCAACAAGGATTCTTCCTCCGCCATCCATTTTTGGATTGACCGTGCCACCTTAGTCATCGGTTTGTCGCCTTTCGCTTTGTGACTCTTCCTGCGTGCATTTTTTTTGTTCCTATTGGTTCCGGTTGAGTCTTCGGAACTGACTCTGGGTCATCGAGGTTCACCGTTGTTGGCATTTTGAACAACGATGGATTACTCTCTTACGCTTGGAAGAGCCACATCGCGTACTCGTTTGGCTTGAGACCACCAGGGGGAGAAGAACCGTGGGGATTCATGTTAATAAAAATTTAAGAAAATTGAAGGAGATTGAAGATATGTGCGTGAATGAAATTGAAGATTGAAGAAAGGAAAGATGTAAAGAAGATTGAAGGTTGGGGTTTGATATTTATAAAAAAAATTAACTAAATATTTTTTTAGGTGTAACGGCTAAAATAGCCGTTGGGGGGATCAACGCACACTTGTGCGTTAAACATTTGACGCAGGGCGATGACGCCCAGATGAAGCCTGAAGAGGGCGGTGTTTAACGCCGAAGAGGCGTTAAACGTCCCATAGCGCCCCCCCGGCGTCAAGAGCATTTCCATTGCTCTTATAGACTTGTGAGTTTCAAAAGCACACCTTTGGATATAACACTCTGGACAATTTGGGAGAGATACTAGAATGATTGCCCAAGTCATATGATGGGTGATCGGTCACTTTGCCCCGTTGACCAAATCATCCCCGATGATGGGCAATTGGTTGGTCTTTTCACATCAAGTTTAGTAGAATATCTATTGTATTTTTTAAAAATATGATTTTAAGTTTTTTTGTTTTAACGTAAATTTTAAATAAATTAATCATATATGTCCGGAAAGTGGGCAAATTTCCATCTATTTTAAAATAATTCTACTTTACTTACAGGTACAGAAATAAAAAGTACAAATTACATACTAAAAAAATATTTGTATATCATAAGTTTACAAAATAAGTGGTGGCATTTTTATTTTATCAAATGATCTATAAAAATGCATACAAATGCAGAAATTAACGAAAGCTCGAAATAGTAAAGATGATTAATCTGGGAATGAGGGAATACAAAATAAAGATAATATCTAAAATGTGTTATAATTAGGCCCTCCCAATTTAAAACTAAAATGCGGTAAAACTGACAAACTAAAATGCATTTATATTTCAATTAAATGACTTGTAAATAGTGTTTTAGACAAAAAAAATTAGAGAATTTTAAGGTTAATATTTTACGCTGAAAAAAAATGTCTGATAGGTCAAATAGAGAAATCTACCAGTACATTTTAAGGAAATATCTGAACTACAAATTTCAAATTATTACCAATTTAAAATTATTAAAAAAGTAAAACCCAAAACTAACATGGTGGAACAATTATCTAAAACAACCAAAATAAAAAGAATGAAAAATAAAAAGAAATAGACAGTAGTTTGAAAAGATATAGCGTAGCTTCTTTTGAAATGTATTTTCCACCATTAGTCATTCTTATCGGTATGTTTTTTTTTGAAATTATTGTCCAAGCTATTCAGTTTTACTTTTCATTTTTTTCTACTTTTAACATTATGATAAATTTAAATCCATAAATCAAATCATTTCATAAGATATACTGTTGAATTTTTCTCTTTAAGACATATCCACCAAAAATAATTTTGATTATTAAATAACAACTTTAAAATTATTTGAGTGTTTTTTTTCTAAAACATTTTTTGTAATTCAACTAATTAAAATATAAACACATTTCATTTTTTAAGTTTTACAACATTTCAGATAACTAGTTCAACCCTAAGATGTAGTTCCAGTGAAAATCTATTTTCACCCTTAAGATCAAGTTCCAATGAGAATGATTCTTGCCGTGATGAATGAGAATAGTACGGAATACATTTTTGGTTCGTCACAATTCATTATAATGTTGAAATTAATGGTATGTTTGGGAACATGGATTTGGATTTCAAATCCAGATTTGGCTCAAATTCCATGTTTAGGAAACTTAAAAATTTTGAATTTGGATTTGAGTCAAATTCTTCTCATTCCTAACAAAGCTTAGTTTAAAATTCATGCACCTCCCATTGTCATTTGAAATTTAAGATTTCAAATTTTGGAATTGAAATACATGAATTGAAATACTAATTGTCAAACACTACCTTACTGCACTTATCGGGAAAGCTTGACTTGTTTTTATCGCGTTTTTAACTCATTTCTTGATTTTTCATTTTCTTTTACAACTCTTAGATCCTAATTCAACATTTCGTCATTCCGCTTTGAAACAATGCTCCACAACAATGGCACCGTTCTCATACGGATATAGTACTACTTCTCACAAAATGCTCCACAATACGATTGTTACGTATATTTGGTTGTTTTTTGGTGTTGAGTTTTGGCTAGAAGACATGACCAAGAGAAGAGAAGTTGACTAAGGATCTGTTCGGTTGATGTCAGTGTTTCAATTCCATGCGCACCTTACCCATGGCGAAGAGCCCTCTCTGCTTGTGGCCTCAGATGAATTGCTTGCAGTTTAATTCATGAATACCGAATCTTTTAATCATTGGACTTTTTTGAAAATGTTTAAATAAAATAGAGCGCATTCCATAATTAATCTTTTATGACAAGAGTTTTTTATATTTGGTTATTTATTATCAAACATTATCCCTCGTGGTCTTTTATAGGTACTTTTCCATAAATAGTCATTTTACAGACTTTCTGTCATGTGGGTATTAATTTGACAACTACAAATATAATTTGACTTCAACCCTATGTCCAATGACATATTCTGATATTGGTTAAATGGACAACACAACAATAATAACTATGACCGTAAATTATGGATGTATTAGAAAACAACTGTAATTTACAAACGCGTCAAAAGCGGCCTATAAAATTGTGTATGACAAGAAAGATATATGATTATTGTAAAATTATATTTTTAGCCTTCAAACTAACACAAACATGACAAAAATACCTAAAAAAACTATGTGGAAAGATACCTATAATAAAAGGACGACAAAAGTAATATTTGAAAATAGAGAACTAAATAGCTTAAATCTTCTATTATAAAGAACCAATTATGAAATTTACTCAATAAAATAACATACTCACTGAAAGGGTATTTGAGACATTTAAATCTACTTTAAGCTTTATCTTGGTTTTTATGCCAAATCGAACATGGAGAAAGGGACCAGAACGGAGAGAGTCCACCTAAAATAACGTCAAAATGCAAATAAAAATGATGAAACCTATAAAGAAAAATCAAAAGAAAATGAAGCAGAAAACCGATGGTTAACTCAATGCTTCCAACAATAAATAATACGGGAGCAACAAATCTAAGCAAAGGTGGGGTAAAGAGGCATATCATATGAGTAGCTGGCTAAACATTGGAGAAAGTAGAAAATTTGATCTAGAAATGCAATTAGATGAAGAACTCATTAGTGATGAATTAACTCTTTACTTACAAGTCCTTCCCTAAACAAAAACCCTTTGACTTGAGCTTCATATCACGAGTCCTTCCCTCTGTTGCAACGGTTTTCCAATTTTTCGGTGTTTTCTGATAATATCTGCCCGGAGGATCACATCACATAAATAAGCAACCATAGTAAATGAAATCTTCGGGATAGCAAATATTATACTCCCTCCGTCCCAAAATGTTTTACACTTTACGCAAAACGAAGTAAAATTTCAAGTTTTTTTAATTCGTTTCATTTAAAGCTTGGTATTGAAATTAAAAATAAAACTTAAATATTTAAAAACTACGTCAGTTCTATAAAAGAAGGTGACAAGAATATTTTATCAAACAATAAATCAAAACGTACAAATAAATAAAAGTTTCTGCGACTTGAGTAGTGAAGAGTGTATTTCTTTTTGGGCCGGAGGGATTACATAGTAAATATCTGTTGAAATAAAATTTGGAAACCCTTACTTGACGAATGTAGTTTGCCACTGCTTTGCAGCCTTCTATAGCGAGTTGCATCACATTTTCAAGAGTGTCCATGGATAATTTGGAATCCATCTGCACCAAAGTGGTTATCCATTCTTATCTTTTTAGATACTCAAACATAAACGTAACCACGAATTTGGGACATCCATTAGTCCATTACTAAAACCTCAATTAATCTGTACTTTGTCAAGTGAACCCAAAGAACATGACCTTTGCGGGCTTGACAAAGGTGGGTCTTGCTTTTAACTTTGATAAAATAAAAGGGAAGATGAGCTTGTGATAGGTGAAAGAGGATCGAAAATTAGTGGGAGTTTGGTTGAGATTACATTGTGATATAAGTTATCACATTACTGAGTGATCTCATATTTTACTATCACATAGGATAATGGGGTAATGATAGGACCTTGGTTTTACTTAGGTATTGTAACATTTCTTTTCACATTTCAATTTTTGCCCTTAAATTATATCATTATTGTAATAGATCTGGCGCACATTAATATTATATTCTCACAATCTTAAGCAGGTAATCCTACATTCTCATAATCTCATATAACCTTAGAGAAAGTAATCTCATTATACAAATTAATCCTAGGTTACTAATTCAACCAATGTTTAAGAAAAGCCCTTCTTCACCTCCACTGACCACCAATGTTTGAAGAGGCATTGCAAAATGCATTCCATCCCAAAAACTCGCGACTTAAGGCTAAGATCTAAGGCATTTATGAGGTGTGCGCCTCATTTTTTTGTAAATTAGGGATTGATTCAGTCTATTTACTTAGCAAAATTCAATCATGCCTTCTCGATCCCTATTTTCTTATCTCGTGATCAGCATCGGCTCTATGAGATTATGTGTTTCATCTTCATCGTCTCTGGTTTTCATCTTCATCTTCTCGCCTTCATCTTTTCTGTACTCTGCCCCTAGTAAAGTCGTAAATTCCCTTTTTTTACACAGCCTGATGCTCTATTGCTGGTAAATTCATTTGTAAATGTGTCGCGTAATTCTGTAACAAAAATATCACAAGAGGGGTTTGAGATATAAAAATCATCTTGCCCACACAAGGAAAAATTTGGCACCATGTCCAAAGGTCCCCGATGATGTTAAACAAGAGATCTTGGCTCTTAAATTTGGCCAAACAGACATGGTGTACACAAGAAATCATGAGTTCATTGACAATGGGGTGTACTATCAAAGTGTGAATACATTCACTTGTTCATCAAGCAGTGTAAGCAATTCTCAAAGAGGAGTACGGAGACCAATGGATGATTCTGCAGTGCATGTTGATGTTGAAAATCTTGATGTTGTTTTAGAAAGACCAATAGGAGAAAAGGAAGCCAAGGAGCGAGTATCCATAGATTTGGGAAGATTTTTTTAGAATGGTATTCCCTTCAATGTTATACACCTTCAGTTTTAATAATGCTTTATGAACCTTTTGAAACTTTTAAAATGTGGCTTACGCCTCACAACGCCTTGAGGCTTAGCCCTATGCCTTGATGGAAAATTGCCTCATATACGCAATACGCCTTTTCGAACATTGCCCTCTACGCATAGTCGCATATGTATCACATCTTCCCATTCATTGACACCATCAGGGCCGACTTCTTCTGCCTTTCCCTCTCATGTGGCTGCTAGAAGGGATTCTTCAAACCCAGATGATTTGGTTTTTTACATTTTTACCCACAAACAGAGGACGTATTGATTCGAATTTCCACATTGCCAAATTTCTGAACCGCCCCCTTCTACACCAACACTGTATGTATTAAGGACCACTTGGCAACTTGTTGTCCAAATCCTAAACTTTCTTGGACTAGTGTAAACCCTTGTTTGGTCCTCAAGTCCACACCCTTGTCGATTTCACGTTAAAGGCACCACCTCCACTTAACTCTCCATCGAAGTGCTTTATGAACAGTGATTGAGGATTTGGAAGATAATGAAGGCATGGGCTTGAAACAGATGGTGAGGGAGAGATGTTAGGACCAAATTTAAGTAGTTTGATTGTTCATTCTCCCACCAGTTGCTTCATCTGATTCAAGTTGCTTATCAGAGCTTTGTCTCTGGTAGTCTGGTTGCTTCGGTTGATACTGGTCTCTTATCTAGTTACTGACATTTTAGTTCAAAGAAGAGGTGTTACAACTTACAGTTTGGTTGAGGAAGAATTTATGGTTTTCCTATTATCTTCTCCGTTGGCAAAATACTCTTTTGCTTGGTTAATGTCATCTTTCTATCCCATGTTATTCTTTTTCCCATACAAAGAATGAAGAAAAAAGGAATACGGTTGCACAAAAACACTCGTGTAAAAATTAATTAGTGTCGGTCTTTTTTAATAAGAGAAGCTTGTTTGGTCTTTAAACAATTATTCCACTATTATTCTAAAGCATACCAAAAACAGGAACTATTATTCCTAATGATTCCGTTCCTACCAATCAAACAGTCCCTCTACTCATTGGAGTGGAGGTAAGGACTATAAGGTATGTGGATAGTTGTCACGGCACCAGCACGAGGATGCCTAGTCGACTGCCTAGGCGACAGGTTATAAATGAGAAGTGTAGTGTATTAGTAACACAAATATAAATTCATTAAAATTAACTTTATACTTTAATATTCTAAGTTTAATATTTGGTATTGACTTCAGACTTCACCTGTTAATTAAAAAAATTAATACAAACTTCATAGAATAACAAAAAGTGCTTACACAAAAAAAAACAGAGTTCAATCAATTTTTTGAAAAAAATAGATGCAGTAATACTTATTAGTTAAAAATCAGATCTAGGGAGATCCACTCAATCGGCGGCGAGCTTACTGTGATTTGGTACTCAATCTGCAATATCCCTGGACAGCAAGGGTCGTTGCTTCCGACGAGATCCATCAACTGGTGATGGAAGGAAAGGAGCGACTAAGATTTTTCGACTTCCAAGTTCTGACTTAGAGCCATAAGCCATTACTTTTTGTGCAATTAGACGGGTGAATGGAATTGTGTACGTGTTTTACTAGCATCGTTTTGGCAGCCGACAGGACACCAAGGCATACCTAAGGCAATGCCAAGCTACCTTAGGTGACATGGTGAGGCGAGCATCATTGGCGAGAGTCATGATGACTATGGGTCTGTGTACATCTTGCATTCTTGCCTATGAGTCCCTGCTTTTAAGTGGGATATGCTGGGTCCATTTGGTTTGGCTATTCACTCTACATTCTTCTTCCGGTGAAAAAGTACTATTTTCCGTTTATATTCCCCTCTGTACCGGATGAGTCGTTAGTGTAGTTGTCTAAAAGAAAAAATCCATGTAGTATAAAGCTGGATGAAACTTATTCGGTCACATCGGCAATGCTCTAGAAACCTGCAGGATTATGCGCTAAATCCAACAATTGAACATTATTTCTAGAAAAAGAGTTTAATTGTAGCTTTTTCAGATCGGGTGTCCAAATTCCACTTTTCTGTCAAGTCTGAAGGTTAATTTGACACTTGCTCAAGTTTCCAAGTAATTTCTGTCTTTTGTTTTGGACTTCAGAATATAAATTGTTGTCTTGTTAAAGAGCTAAGTAATGTGGTATTATTTCGAATTAATTTGATGTCCTCAACATTGCAAGTTGAAGTTTTATTAAAATTTAAGCATACACAATAGGACAGAAAATTATACTAACACAAATAGAGGATTGCAGGCAATCCATAAGAAAAGACTACTATGAAAAGTTCGCAAAAATTTAAAATTTTAATCACATTAGTTTAGTAAATAACCTGCAGCAGAGTCACTTTATCCGACCTACGCAAAAGCCCAACAGTGACATCAGGGCCACCAGCACTGTCTTCTACGTAGTTTAAATCTGTTCATTTACAAGTTACAATATCAAACTGTTAGATGCAAGTTTAAATTGGAAAGAGAGTCATCAACCTAAGAAGCCACCCAAAAAACATTCACATGGAGTTGGTAATTAGCTTACCAAGAAGAGGGGTATTGTTTAGATATCCAGCGCTACAGGAAGTAACAATATCTCGCATTCCAATCCCTGCATCTGCAAGTGCCAATGTGGCGGCATTTATGCATGCAGATCTTGTTCCTATAAATAAGAGAGTTCATGTTTAAGTACTAATCAAAGTAGAAAATTTTATGCCTTGACATTGTTCACATGCAGTTAAAAAGGATGAATATCTGAAACTAAAACTTATTTTTAAAAAATACGGAGTAATTGCTCAACAAAATAAATCATGCACAGCCACTTTTACTGGAGAATATAAATTGTACCTCCATCTGCTTGGATGACTTGGACAAAAATGTCTATCTGCAAATGTAAAATTATATGAAATCTTTAGAGAATGTAATACTCAATCATTAAGGGTATGTTTGGATCAAGAAAAATTTGAAGGAAAGAAACATGTTAAGGAAAGCTAGCTTCATGTTCAATTTTAACACAAAAATGCAAGGGAAATGAAATATGATAAATCTTTTATTAAAAAATTACATGTAATTAGATTTTTGTGTGGTTATAGAATAGAAATAAATAAAATTTCATTTTGAACGAATATTCAAATCATATTTATGTACTGCCTACAGTTTCCCCTCAAAATTCCATTCCTTCCCCTTTTTTTCTCCCTATTTTCTTTCCCTGGTATTTTGTGTTCCAAACAAAACCAAATATGTTAGGTCTGTTACATGGTAATTACACCAGAACCTGAGAACGAGGATATAAATCTGTCAAAATGCAAGCTTCCATAGTTTGACGAATAACTAGTGAAATCTCAGTGGATCTCCTGCAGAACACATGAAAAACAGTCTATAGATACATGTTTTCCCAATTCTGACATCTCAATGTGAAAACCAGGTCTAAAGGATTGAAACTATGCAGGGAAGAAATATTTCAAACTTAATTGCCTGAAGTTCAGGCATTATGGCAGTGTTAAATAAGTAGTACTCCGTAACTGTTGCAGTGTGGATGTCATAGACAATCATTTAATGAAATACAAGATCTTTCCATGCATAATAATGGAAGAAGAGAGAAATGCTGAGTTCACAAACAAAATGATCACAAAACTCACAAACTTACTATTTGTGAATTTAAATAATAAAAAAATTAAGTAGTCTAAAATAATTTTAAAATGAGAATTTAAACCATAAATGATAAGTTTGTGAAGTTTGTGAACATTTTGTTTGTGAACCTAGCATTGCTCGGAAGAAAATGACAACTAGGGATAACAGAAAATTCAAGGAATCTTAACAAAAGAGCTTATTGAATTGGAAGTTCAAAAATTTTGTTGAAATGACTAAAATGTCTGAAATAGCCAATACTGAATTATTATGCATTGAATTACAAAATAATTTATTTTTTTAATAACTGGAAAGAAATGATATTTATATGATACTAATGTGAAGTGCATGTCCATTCTCTTCATTTCAACATCTTCTGCCCCACAACTAAAAGCACCCACTGACCACTGCACTGCTTCTTTATCACAAGCATATTTCATTAAAAGAGTAGAAAAGGGGGTGTTTTAAAGACAAATGAGGGATAAGGGTGATAAGCCTTAAAATGCGATCACCAAATATGAGACTGATTGACACATAAATTCATAGAATCCTTGAACACGTGGAAATTTCCTTAGTGAAATAATGCAAAAACAAAATAAAAAAATCACCTGTCGCCCTTTGGTTTCCTCATGCGATCACCAGTACTGAAGTTAGCCATACTATACTCGCAACGAACCTGAAACATCATTGAAGATTAAACCACCACGGCACTACAAATACAAATATCATTGCTCAGAGAAAGTGAAATACCAGAGCTTGGTCATTCAGTTGTTCGCTCCAATTTTGAACCTGAATAGCATAATAATAACAAATATCAAAACTAACTGCTATTACTACCTAGAAAAATAGTAAGTGTGCTTTCTTTGCCCATAGTGTGCTCTTTTTTCTTTGTGACTACTTTGTTCTCACTTTGTTCGTGCTCAGGTGTCTACTTTTTTTGTTTACTTTACCTGTTCTTGAACTGGGGTCTCTTGAAAATAGCCTCTCTACTTTTGAGTCGGGGTAAGGTCACACCCTCCCCAGACCCTATGCATGTGGGATTCTACTGGGTTTCTTGTAGTTGTATTACTTGGAAAAATAATACTCCATAAAAAATAAAAATCTATAGAATCATGTTTTAGTTGGGGAAGTAAGCCATTAGTTGGCATAATATTGAGAGATTGGTGTAAACTGGAGGGGATTACCGTCCTCGGACCATAAACAGCAGCGATTACTTTGGTGTTACCCATTTCAAAGGAAGCAGAACTGCAGTGTAACCATACAACTCCAATTTATCTACTCATTAAGAATGAAGAGGAACACAATAGAGTACATAGATATTACACGGCGTTGCTTACCCAGTAGCTCGGGAAACCACGCCTATTTCAGCACGAAGTTGCCTCATCTGCAATTGAAAACATAAGTAGAAGAACAATGAATTGATTAATCAATTAAATTAAACGAATTGTGATTACATACAAAGATTTAAAGCAGACACAAACCGAAAATGCGATACTCTAGGTATATTCAAACCTCGAGGGGACGGCGACCATCCAGGCGGAGACCTTCAGGGCTAACGTACTCCATCACGGAGAAGAAAAAGGTTCGCCGGAGAGTATAGAAGGGCGGCTGCCTGTTGGCGGAGCGCGGCGGTGAGTATGGGGTTTTCGCGGTGGAGCTGCGGGTATCGCCGTTATTCGAGTATTTCAACCTCCGTGTCTAGCTACAGAGTCTGAACTCTGAAGGGCTTTAGTTTTTCGGCCACGGCCCTATGCTGCTGGTCTTGACGGGCCAGCGCATGTGGGCTTTATTTACCACTTACAATCATTAGTGGGCTTTTTGGCAGCTGAATGATAGATGTACTCCTCCCTCTAACAATTATCTTCTTATTGCGTGTTACGATGTTTGATCGAAAATATTTTCAAATTATTTTATATAAAAAATAGTGAGGATTTAAAGAATAAAATTTACATATTTAAAAGGGTAATTTAATTAAATAGTATTAGAACATAGTGACTTTCCCAATGTAGTATCATATGTTTTTATTTTCTAATGTGGTATCATTGTTCAATGTTCACTGGTCATTGTTCAAGTAAATGTCCAGTGTCATTGAACATTGTTCAAACTAAATATCTACAATCACTGGACATTGTTTCTGACATAGACATTATTCAAGTACTATTCAATAAAAAAATCTAAGTACTACATTGAGAAAAGACATATATATTTTAGTACTATTTAATGCAAATTTCATTATTTAAAACCTACATTAAAAATTTTAAAAAAATTAGAGGTGATGTGACTATATTATTTTATCAAATGGGCAACAAAAACTTCCCCCGACAACCGTAATCCTCTCGCATCTCCGTACACGGGCGTCAGCATTCCGCCGCCTCACATGACCAAACCATCTCAACCTCGCTTCCCGCAGCTTATCATCCACCGGCGCCATGCCTAACTGACGTTGGATAACTTCGTTCAAAATCCTATCCAACCTTGTCTTCCCACACATCCATCGTAACATCTGCATCTCCGCCGCATGCAGATGACGCACATGAGTCTTCTTAACCGCTCAACACTCTGCCCATATAACATAGCAGGTCTGACTACGGATTGGTAGAACTTACCTTTCATCCTGGGCGAAATCTTCGGATCACACAACACCCCTGAAGCCAACCGCCATTTGGCCCAAGCCACTCCAACACGATGTCCAACATCCCCGTCTAACTCCTCATCAGCCTAAATTACCAAGCCAAGATATCGAAACTTGTCTACCTTACGCACTAGGTGAGAGTAAATCCTAACTTCCACTTCCGATTCCGTTTTCCGACCGCTGAAACGACATTCCATGTATTCTGTCTTGTTCATACTTATTCTGAATCCATTGGTCACAAGGGCAATGTGCCATAGTTCCAACTTATCGTTTAGTCCCTCACGCGTGTCGTCGATAATCACAATATCATCTGCAAAAAGCATGCACCATGAGACCCCTTCTTGAACACTTTGTGTCAGGACGTCCATCACCAAGGTGAACAAAAAAGGGATCAGGGCAGACCCCTGGTGCAACCCCATCCCTATTGAGAATGACTCAGAGTTGCCCCCGGAGGTCCTCACCCTAGTCCTAGCCCCACCGTACATATCCTTGATCGCGCGAGTGTACGCAATGGGAACTCCTCTCGACTCAAGGCACCTCCATAAAACATCCCTTGGCACCCTATCGTACGCCTTCTCAAGATCAATAAACACCATATGAAGGTCCTTCTTCCTAGCCATATACTCTTCCATTAACCTCCGCACGAGGTGAATGGCCTCTGTAGTCAATCTGCCAAGCATGAAACCAAACTGGTTCTCAGAAATACATACCCTTTTCCACACCCTATACTCAATGACTCGCTCCCAAACCTTCATGGTGTGGTTAAGCAGTTTGATGCCTCTGTAATTCTCGCAGCTTTGAATGTCACCCTTGCCCTTAAACAGAGGGACCAAGAGACTCTCTCTCCACTCATCAGGCATCCTAGCTGTCTGGAAGATAACATTAAAGAGTTTGGTTAACCAAACCCACCCACCATGACCCGCATGCTTCCAAAACTCCACCGGAATCTCATCTGGTCCCAACGCTCTCCCACTACACATCCCGCGGAGAGCCCGAGCCACCTCTTCTAGGCAAATTCGTCGGCAATACACACGAGACGCCTCGGACTGCCCCGGCTCATCAAGAACTAGCCTCTGGTCTCCTCCCGCATTTAAGAGTTCACAAAAGTACTCCCCCCAGCGCTTAGCCACCTTGGCAGTCTCAACTAACACTCTACCATCGCTGCCCCTCACGCATTTCACGTCGTCCAGATCTCGGGCCTTCCTCTCATGCACCTTAGCAAGCCGGAACAGTTGATTAACATCGCCTTTCTCCTCTATATCCTTGTAGAGGTGTTCAAAGGCGGCATTCTTTGCCCTCGTAACCTCTAACTTAGCTTCTTTACGTGCCTTCTTGTACTCCACTCGTAACGCCGCTCATTCCTCCTCAACATTACAGTCCATGTACCTTAGATATGCCACCTTCTTGGCTTCCACCTTACTTCGAACTGAATCACTCCACCACCAATCACCCTGATGCCTACTCCTAGAGCCAGAGCTCACACCTAACACTTCCCTGATTGTTTCCCTCATGCAGTTTGCGCCCACATATCAGTAGCCTCCCCGGCCGATTCCCACGCACCTCTCTTCTGCACTCGCCTGATCAACTCAGAGATTTTCTCCCCCCTTAGTCTCCTCCACCTGATTTGTGTGTTGCCACCCGTAGCTCTCATATGTTTCACCCACCTGATCATGACATCCATCACCAGTAGCTTGTGTTGGGTAGTGATGTTCTCACTCGGAATTGCATACCCCCTTCCGCACCCTATACTCAATGCATACCCCTTTCTGCACCCTATACTCAATGACTCGCTCCCAAACCTTCATGGTGTGGCTAAGCAGTTTGATGTCTCTGTAATTCTCGCAGCTCTTAATGTCACCCTTGCCCTTAAACAGAGGGACCAAGAGACTCTCCCTCTACTCATCAGGCATCATAGTTGTCCAGAAGATAACATTGAAGAGTTTGGTTAACCAAACCCACCCACCACGACCCGCATGCTTCCAAAACTCCACCAGAATCTCATCTGGTCCCAAAGCTCTCCCACTACGCATCCCGCAAAGAGCCCGAGCCACCTCTTCCACGCAAATGCGCCGGCAATACCCAAAGTCACGAGATGCCTCGAACTGCCCCAGCTCATCAAGAACTAGCCTCTGGTCTCCTCCCGCATTTAAGAGTTCACAAAAGTACTCTCCCCAACGCTTAGCCACCTTGGCAGTCTCAACTAACACTCTACCACCGCTGCCCTTCATGCATCTCACGTGGTCCAGATCTCGGGCCTTCCTCTCACGCACCTTAGGAAGCCGGAATAGTTGATTAACACCGCCTTTCTCCTCTATACCCTTGTAGAGGCGTTCAAAGGCGGCATTCTTTGCCCTCGTAACCTCTAACTTAGCTTCTTTACGTGCCTTCTTGTACTCCATTCGTAACGCCGCTCTTTCCTCCTCAACATTACAGTCCATGTACCTCAGATATGCCACCTTCTTGGCTTCCACCTTACTTCGAACTGGATCACTCCACCACTAATCACCCTGATGCCTACTCCCAGATCCAGAGCTCACACATAACACTTCCCTGCTATTTCCCTGATGCAATTAGCAGTCTGCGCCCATATATCAGTAGCCCACATATAAAGAGATAGATTAAAAGTGGACAAATACATTATGTCAGCCCAAAAAGAAAAACTTGACAAAAATAGTAGAACAAAAGATGTATTCCACTAATTTATAGTATTATGGAGTATGAACTATGAACCCTTTATTCCAGTAACTTGAATGCATATAACCCTTTACCAAAAATATCTAGGGTATGTTTGGAAATATGGAAAATGACTATTGGAAAATGTTTTCTAGAAAATGGATTATTTTCCAGAAATCATCTTCCATTTTTGGTGTTTAGACGAAAGTTGAAAATTTATCTATTTCTATTTGGTTCATTATTAGAAAATGATGATTAATAATTGAGAAAATTATATTTGAACACCATTCAATTGAAACTGGAATGGGGATTGAAATTCAAATGCTTGAAATTGAAATTAAATGTCACCTGCTATTCGTGCTAAGCTTGGAATCTGACCCTTCGAAAAATTTTGGGAGATGACAAATGCAATTCAAGGAACTGGGCCTCGATCTGTTGTCTTCCGCTCATTGCGATGGACGGAATCTAGTTAGGGTTTAGAAGAAGATGGTGCAGAGAAGAAGAAGCGATAGGGGTCAAGAAGAAGAAGAAGAAGAAGAGAGAGAAGAAGCGAGAAGCAAGAGAGGTCGGGGGAGAAAGAGAAGAACCAAGAAAGGGAAGAAGAGATGAAGCTAGACATGAAGCTGAAAAAGTCTTCCAGAAAAAATCCAGAAGTCACAATCCGTAAAAATGGCCTCATTTTCCATTTGACTAAACTTGTTTTCCATTTGACTTGAATTTTCCTTTTTTCAAACGGACCCCTAATGAGACCCTCAAGCCCGGTCCAGCGCGGAAAATTATTTAAAAACAAGTAAATGAAACATTATTTCTTTTATTGATGAAACAAAAAAATACCCCATCTGTCCCAAAAAAATTATACTCTCAACTATTCAAAAATGAATAAGAATTTTTTATTATTTGATAAATAAAGTATTCTTATTACTTTTTTGTAGAACTTTTAACATAGTTATTAATTATGTAAGCTTTATTTTTAATTTATATACCAATCTTTAAATAAAATAGATTTAGAATAACATGAAATTTCACTTAGTTAAGAGTGAAGTGCAAAACATTTTAATATGGAGGAAGTATATTTTTGAAAGAGCACCGCAATACTACAAAATCATTTTTTTGTGTATTATAAACAATTCAATTATCTGCTGCTAAACTGTAGAAACTAAAAAATGAGCAAAAAATAATGTCAAATGCCCTACTAAACATGGGGAATGCTACAATAACAAAAATGATACTTCATTCATCCTCATTTAAGTCACATGTTTACTATTCACATAGTTAAACTTTGATCACTTCATGCATTTTACTATTCACAGGATCAAATTTCAATCACTTTCTTTTCCTATTTAAGATAGACATTTATATAGTTGTTCCACTACTAATTTTGTAGATCTATTTATGTAGTTTTTGAATATGTAATTTTTTATTTTTTAATTACACACTGTTTTTCATATAAAATACTCCATCCGTCCCAATGTATTTGTCCAGTTTGACTTTTTCAAGTCAAACTAGACAAAATTTGAGCTTCAATTAAATAAAAATTGTAATGTATTTTAACATAAAAATGACTTTATTGGATTTATCGTATTAAGAACTTTCAAAATTGTATTTCATTATGCTAATATGCAATATAAATTGAGAATAATTGAAGTTTAAAATTTGTCCAGTTTGACTCAAAAAATCAAACTGGACAAATACACTAGGACGGAGGTAGTAATTCGAAAATAATTTCAGTCAAATATCATAAATCGAAATATGTCATTTAAATCTAGACGGAGGGAGTATAACATATGATGTACTCCCTCCGTCCCGTTTTAAATTGTCCGTTTTGACTTTTGGACATATTTAAAGAAAATTAAAAATAGAGTTGATTTTTCAAAATTGTTAATACTTTTTAGGAGGGATGATGATGAATAAGAATATAATGTGGAGAAGATTGACTTATTTTAGAGGTAGTTTAGGTATTTTATTTTTAAAAGTTTACGAAAACAACTAATAGGCAACTTATTTTGGGACGGAGAAAAAAGACAAACAAGCAATTTAAAATGAGACAGAGGTAGTAGTTTTTAAATATATAAATTTTATTATTTAATTCTACCCCAATTCTCAAATAAATTTATTTGAAAATAACTTTAATCAAACACCGTAAACAACAACAGACAACTTAAAATGGGACGGGAGAAGTATGAAGATTGACATCACCCGTGTTTCACAAACAGTAATTTCTCAACGATAATTTATGTCAGTGAAAACTAGTCTATTGTGTCAATGCATTGAGAATTGTTCAGTGTGAGACTCAACAGTGCTATTGTTGTCCTAAGGTCTACTTGTAAAATGTGGATCTTCTAACATAATATTCATCGACTCATAATTGAATTTCTTACTTTTTCAATCCAATAGACCAATACATATAATCATTTTATGTATTAACGTTCATGAAATGAACATTGATCTAAAAACCACAAAAAAAAAATGCCTAACACCAAATCCCTAGTTTCACTAGCCATTGCAAGAATCGCGGGGCATTCAACGAAACCCCAATCAATGTAACATGAAAAAAGACAAAGTTCACTTTTTTTGTTTCTATCAACTATGGAATTTATCTGCAGCCCTAATCCAAAACCAAAACAAGATCACAAGAAATGGTGTTTGATGATGTTTTGTGCACCAACTCGACTACCCAAAAAAACTACCTGTTGTGTCGCGACTTGGCCAAAGTTTTCACCATACCCTTTGCAATTTTAGTAAACCAGAACAGATTCATCATAGACAACACAGGAGGCACTGTGAGCAAGGTGCAGAAGCCCATCGGAAAAACTTTCTTGACCTATGCACACAATAACAAACCATGTAAGGCCACTTGGTTCTTTTTTATAATTATGTAAAAACAGTGATCCGCGACTAACCTGATCAAAATGGATGAACATGTGGTAGAAAAAGTAGATGAACAAAAGTATCCTTGCCACCTGAAAGCATTGAAAGCAGTCATTACTAGAAAGAAAAGTCAATTCAAGAACGACGAAAGAATGATTGAAATGAAAAGCAGGTGATTTAGATGGAAACAATTACACGGGTGTCACAGATTTTGTTGTTAATCAAGTCAGCTGTGCACTAAATTAATGATTTTAACATAAACGGTTTGCTGGTTTTTATTATAATCAAACCAAAATTGACAATAACATAAATGACCATAGGTGGTTCGATTTGCGGTATAAGGTATAGACATGGAAAACCAACAAAACCATATGAAACCGACAAAACCCGGTTAGAATTTCATTAGATGAGAGAAATCTTGTGAGCCACATGTTCATTACTAAAAAAAGAAAGTGATTAGTGTTTTTTTGGGACTTCCAAGAAAAGAGTGGGTAAAGTTTTTTTAATATCAGGGAAGTAGTTGTTAATTGTTATTGTCATGTCTCATTGGAAAAATGGTATTTTATAATCAATATGCACATGATGGAAAACAAATCCAAAATAACCACACAATACAAGATTAAAGCTATAAGCGAACTAGTTATGTATTTAAGGCACTAGCCTTGCTAAAAGAAAGTAATTTAAAGCCAGTCGGACTTACCAACCATCCGAAAAACAAAGCCACTCCATTGAAAAGGTAAAGTTTGGAGTTCTTTAGACTAGCATTTTCTAGGTACCTGCACGTACAGACAAATGTCAAATTGGAAAACGAGGATAGGAATGAAGAAGGGACTTTGTAATCTAAACTTACCATCTCAAATTAACAAATGGAGTAGTGATCTCAGAAAACAGAACCATCAGTATGTATATCAGTCCTTGCCCACTTACAAGGCTTTGAACAATCGATAACAGTGAGAGCCCATGGTGTAAGATCTGGAAGAAAACCAAACAAGAAACCAATTATACGTCTTAATTTAAAGGATTGGGATTCCAAACATATTTTTGCAAGTAGTTTTTATTAGAAAGAATGATTAAGAATAAAACTCCATCATCATAATCAGTAAAGAGGTCCTCATTAGTCATAACTAAATAAGTATAAAAAAATTCATAAATTCAGCAATAAACATCACTTAGCGCAAAATAAAACAGAGGGTGCTTATATATGTGTACACTTACATACTCAAATCCACCTAAAGCCGGGAAGTAATAACAAATCATTGCCAAGTCAGCCAGAAAATAACCAGTAGAAACCTGTCATCGAAAATATTGCGAAGTCAAGCATAAACTAGGTCGCATCAAACACCATCATTTGCATAAAAATCATCTCTACAATGTGTATGAAAATTGTTTGTTTTCTTAGGCTCAATAAATAGAGGAGGCAATGCACAACCCCTAGTATGGTGTCCGAGAAAGGCGATGTCCTGTTGATAACGGATTCTGCTCGAGAGCCGTCACAAAAGAGATCCGATCCGACTAAGAGATATAGAGATGCATCAGCAACAACCACAGCATGAAAGGTAGAAAATCCACTGCAGATGAAAAAAACATTCAACTAATTTGATGGTAAAAGTCTAAAACAATTTACATACATAGTATCAACTAACTTTAACTTACAACACAAATCAACATTACCGATTTTTCCATTCAACTCGAGTTTTGTCATCAAGTCTGGTGTATCCCTTGAACAAGAAAGGGCTTATTGCTCCTGTTAAGTCATACACCTTCAAAAAAAGACAGGTCTTGGTATTTTTTTCACATAATCCAAAAAAAATTGAATAAAAATCTCATCTTTTTTCCCCAAAATTCCATCTTTCAACCGTGGGAGGAAGAAAACATGGATTTCCCATTCAGCAGTTAAACAAGAAAATGTGAAATTCAGAAAGAAAATGATAAAAAGGGGGCTTACTATCTTGCACATGATGAAGCCAGCAGACACAGAGAGCAGCCAGTGGAATTCTTTACCCACTAGCGACATTCTATTCTCTAAATAATCAGAACCGAAACGACCAAGAGAACTTAACAAGAAACTTTTCTGCAATGACTGGGAATCTATTATTAGTCTCGAATGAGAGGAACCAAGAACAGGAAAGGAGACCGAATCCCACAAGAAAAGAATTATCTTGCTCGATAAGAAATAGGCAAATGAAAAAGTCAAAGAGAGGTGCCTGGAAAAAGGAAAAAAAAGGTCAAAGAGAGGGAATTAATGGCTGGGTAATTCTTAAATCAAGAAATAATTCATGCAGGAGAATTTCAAAAAGCCGGGACGGTGCCGCAGAAGATCCGTTCGGGGGATTGACCGTCCATGGTGACGTTTATCCAAAAAGTCTTTTACTCCATAAATCGATTCCATTATTGATTATTCCCATTATTCCAAGAAGGATAAATATTTGACCCCAAGTTTTTGTACCCCACATTGTACCAGTTTGTACTAACATTTTGTGTTGGTGTAAAACTAATTTTTTTTAATGCACTAAGATTTTGTGTCCGTGTAAATTTTTGTTAACGCACCAACACTTGTGTCGGTATAAACCATCAAAATGTTTGTGTATAACTGCGGTGTACAAATGTGGTACGATTTTTAGTGTAAGTGTAGCATGATTGTTCCAAGAAGCATTTATGGTTTCTTTGAATGAGATGAGAAAATTAGAGAAAATAAAAAAGGATCAAAGAAAATGATGAGAAATTGAAAAAAAATAATGTTTGAATTAGTATAGGATGATAAGAAAGTGATGAGGAAAGAAAAGTAAAAGCAGAAAATAAAAAAAAGATTTTTTGATAAAAGTTTTGGCATGGATCTCACACAATTTTTTTTTGAGTAAATTCCCAAAATGATACTCAATAACTATGTATTTTTCAAATTAGTCCCTAAAATTAAGTAATTTTTGAGATGGTATCCGTTAATTGAGAATAATGTCTAGTTTAGTTCTCCGACTAACGGCCATTAAAACGGTATTAAAACGACGCTAAACTTTATACTACGAGTACTTTCCAACCAACACAACAAAATAGGATTAATGTAATGTCCCCAACCAACACAACAAAATAAATATCCTTTACTAACCAAATATTTGATTATATCAATCAAGTATATTATTAGGTGGAATATCAAAATGTGTCTTGCACTTTAATTTTTTTCCTTAAAAAATCGGTAACCCCATTTAAAATTGTACATCATATTTTATTTTGACATTAATAATTATCATATAATTAAAATGATGAAAATAAGATTTTATATATACATACGAGTATATAATAAAATTTGTTTTGTCAAAATATAATTATCATATAATTAAATTGACACAAACAAAAAATAATTTTAAAATACATATGTATTTTTCAAAATACAATTATGTATATATAAAATTATCACAACTACATGTTTAATATTACTCCCACTAGTGTAGTATACTACTCCCTTATAAGTTCTAAGTGTGTGACCCTTTAGGTATCCATAACACTGGCAATGATATTAGCATAAATTAATACCATAAATAATAAGCGGTATCTAGCAAGACATTATTACCACCAGATTATGAAAAAGATGTTCATCTCATCAATACCTTCTACGACACAAGACGTTCTATAATCATTATCCTTCTATCCTAAATGTCACGATCAAACACAAAGCATGAGATGTGTACCCTTTTATAATTGAATCACTTGTTACTGAATCTCAAGTAGACTAGCAGGAATCAGATATTCATAGCAAGGTCGAATTGAGAATACTGATAAACACATTATTGTAGATCCATGCAGTATTCTCAAGGTGGGTCAATCGAGTCACATATTATCGATATAATATGCACTTACGTACAGATTAAGATATCACAATACATATAGTCTATAAGACGCAACTATCTCATCTCTTACGTACCAGTCTTGATACCTTATGACGTCCGTATTATCATCAAATGCGACTAGGGATATTCTAGACATAGCCTTCGTCAAGAAGTAATGGTCTCATAATAAGAACATCGTAGTCCTCATCTATGTCACTGAAGCGCTATCGTATATGGGCTGAAGCTATGTTATGTTAGACGAGATATAAAACATACTTCAAGGCCTTTCATTCATGATAAAGTGTACAATAACATAGGTCAAGGATATCAACATTAATGTCATCACATGAACCGGGCGATATCAAAAAATAGTCAAGGACCTAAATACAACATTAATGTCATCACATGAACCGGGCGATATCAAAAAATAGTCAAGGACCTTGTGGTCCACTGGTACCATTGTGGTTCTCTTAAATGGGAGGTCATGTGTTCCATTCCTAGTGTACGATAACTCTCTGAGCTTCAATAGATACTCCGTATACGATTATCAGCTACTTCGTATATAAGGTCTGAATAAAAAGGTTAACTATGGCTTCATTGTAAATTTCATAAATGGAATGTCACATGTTTGATCCACAGTTGAGACATTACCTCGGCCACTTTTATGAATGGGATGGGAGAGTAGGAAGCAGGGAAGCGTCATTTGACTAACATATCATGTACTATTTTGAAGAAAGGAAGGAGGCAAATCTATCACATTGAAGAAAAATGAAACACGACCTATACCATCTGAGGTTTAGAATTAGCTGCACAAAACAAAGAGAATTAAGGGGGTGAATGGAGAAGACGGGAGATGTGAAAGAAGAAATTGAGTAAATGTTGAAGTGGATAGGCAGGATAGCTTCACCACGGAGTAAATTAGGGAGGGTAGAATAGTCTTTTTCTTATATTTTTATTACTTAATAAGGAAAGTGGATAAATATTGTGAGACAACCAAAAAAGAATACTGGACAAATATTGGGGGACTGAGGGAGTAATTAAAATATGTTTAAAAATGTAAAAAGTGATAAAAATAATGACTTGTCACTGTAAAACATGTCACTCCACTCACTTGCCACTCTATGACTAGAATATTTTTAAGAAATATTTGCACTAAATAACACTAAAACTTAAGTCATTTCTCTAAATAACACCTAAATTGTTTTATTCCCTAAATAGAAATTAATAATGTCTATAATGTCCAGTGATAGTGAATATTTACTTGAATAATGACTAATGCATAATGACTAAAAGTGCTACATTGGGAAGAAAAACACATGTGGTGCTATTTAGGGAAAGTCATTATGTTTTAGTGCTATTTAAGTAAATTCCTCTATTTTTATTGCTTGAAATGTGTCATATCAAAGTGTGGCCTTCCACTTACTTATTTATCATTGCTCATGCTCTAATACGAAGTATTAAGAAGTTATGGGCCAGGCCGCCTAGTGGCCCGTTTGATTCACTTTCATGGGCGGGTTTATGCATGATGTTTCATCCAATTTTTAAGGGCGAGCTTGGCCTGCTCACATATATGAGCAAAAATTTTACTTCAAGCCCGACCCATGTCCGACTTAGATCCGTATTTGTGAAGGTCTACTCGTGATGACTTATATTTTAGGGTCGGTTTGATGAGTTTTGGAGATTATAGATTTTGGAATTTAGGAAAAACGATATGAGTTTTAAAATCTAAAATGAATGTATTTAAAGAGATTTAAAATTATGATTTAATTAGTGATTGACGAGGAACGCTAGCAACATGGCCACATGGGTGATCGACGATGACATCGATAGCTGGTGACGGAGATGGTGAAAATTTGAGGAGATGTCAAATCCTTACATTGATCTCTCAAATTTAAGAGATATCAAAACTCTTTATTATATAGAAATATCAAATTTGATTTTTTCTATGCATCACCAAATACAAAAAAACCAAAAAAACTGAAGGGGGTGCAATTGAAGGGTGTGGGGAGTGTGTTTGGGTCGGGGCGAGGTGAGAAGTTTACCGGGTTAGGGTGTAGGAATTGTTAATTTTACGAATGGGGCACCGGAGCGCCCTCGGGCCATCCCATGACATGGAATTCCAATGTCATGGGAACCCTACCCCAGAAAGGAGACGATTCCCGACAATGTCACGGGGTGACCCAGGGGCGCTTCGGTGCCCCGTTTGTAAAATTATCGGTTCTTACCTTTCCTAACCCCCGGTAAACCCCCACTCCTTCAATTGCACCCACAAGTTGATTTTAATTTTGAAGTCAAAATTTGACCCCAAAGTCAAAATCAACTTATTCGGTGCAATTGAAGGAAAAGTGGGAGTGTGTTCGGACCAGAGGTTTACTGGATAGGAATGGTCAATTTTACCGCGTACGTGATCATCCACATGACATTCTAATGTGATGACTTGGGGCGCAGCCCCTACCATCTCAAACATGAGAGATTCCAATATAGAAACCATATCTTAGACTCTTCAAATTTCACTGAAGGAGCTCTCGCAAGGTGATCTGCGGACCTTCTGGATCAGCTTCCTGAACGCGGTCGTCCCTAAAATTTTCCATGGCGAATCAAGGAGCCAAGAAGCGCAAAGAAGAGAACACTCGGCACATGAGGACCCTCCATCGCCTAATCCTCATCTGCAATGTATCGACACCATTTCTCATTCTACAGTTGATTGCGGAAAATAGGATTTAGGTTTTGTTTATTTTTCTGGAAACAAAATTAATGAATTAGTATTATACGTATATAGGTTCTCTATCTCTTGGTGAGGTTTGGGATTTTCTACTCCAGTTTGTCGTGGATGCATTGGGTAGGGCTGGTATTCACTTCGGCAGCCTACTTTTTGCCTTACCAACAGCTGGCTGCCATGGCTAAGCCCAGTTATGGTGATGATGGGGACCTCATTGATGGTGGATATGATATGAGTACTGGTGGAGTTTGCGGGTAATTTCTTGTTTTTCTTTTAACTTTGTTGATTTCATTTGGAACTTCATCTATCGTCTTAAAGTTTTCTGCATCATTTATTCAGCTAGATATTGTGATGAATTCTAGTTTTTTTTGGGTGTTATATTTACATGTATGGAGTAATAATAAGAGGAGCTCCGTACATCTGCTCGAATACTCATTTTTGATTACCAAAACATTTATTTATTTTAGCATTTATTCAAAAATGGACATTATGCTCATTTGAGAACTACATAATGCTCATTGCTTTTATGCAGAATGTATATCTACGATTAACACAATACTCATTTCAAGTAAAATAAAGATGAATGTACGACTAAAACAAAGAAATATTTGAATTGAGTATTCATTTACTCTTGAATGTGTATTTGCCACCGAGAAATACGGTTCAACCGGTTGTACGGTATATATAATGCCTAAGAGAAGCGGATCTTGGTATTAGTTTCAAGAAAAGCAATCACAGAGTTATTTTTGGCAGGTTGTTGATGGGGTTGGAGTCCAATTGTATATGTTTTGCCTTTACAGATATATGTTACTAGCCCCGTTCTATTTTGGATAGCGTTCTCATTTAATTTCAAATGTGGTGTGATTCTGTTTAGCAAAACCATTCTATATCGTAGTTGTCTTGTTGCTGCAAAAGAAATTTGTTATAATTTCATTTTGTGTGTGCAAAAATAATTCTGGCATGAGAGTTATCTCAGCGGCTTGGCTCTTAAAGAACAAATGAAATGAAAAAAAATTACTTGGTATTTCATAATCAAGTCCGTTCAAGATCCTTTCAAAGATAAATGTTTGAAATATGCGTTTGGTTTTTTAATGCCATTTTAATGAAATTATCTTACCTTTGGTTTATCCCTGCAGGTATTTACATGATGTAATCTATATCACATGTTTTGTCCAACTAACATCGATCTTGTCGGACAAGTTTTGGTACACATACCTAGTGGTATGATTCAAAGTTTATTTTTCCTTTTCGTAACAAACTTTAGCTTCATTACAATCTCATTCTTAATTAAGTCTGTAGTTAGTAAAGCTTTAGTTTCTACTGTTTATCACACATATCTGTTCAACTAGGAGAGACTTGCCAGCATTTGGAAATTGAAAGTTTTCCACCTGCCAGCAATGTATATTTTCTTAATTTTTTAATGAATGCAAGTACAAAGTTAATTGGAATCGACAGCTAGCCTATGGAACTGAAAAAACACAATAATAAGCTGTAGCAACATCTCACCGCTGAGTAAATTACACAATAATCACTCTGATACCAAGTTGATGTAGTTGAATATCACACTGGAAAATTATCACTGCTTAGTTAAATTACACCTATGGTCCCATTACTCCCATAAATAGGAATTGGAGTACAAAAGTCTAAAAAATACCACCAGTTCCTCCAATTAGAGAAGTTGATTTCCTCAGAGAGTAGGACATACAGAAGCGTCATTTGACTAATGTATCATGTGCCAAAGCCGTTATCGATATGAATATGTTGAGGAAACGACCAGAAACATTCCTCTGAAGTCAGGAAGCGGCCATTGCTGTCAGGATGTGATGAAGCATCTAGGAAATGGCCTCGAAGATGTTTCCAAAGCCAGCTAAGTTTGTGGGTTAATTTCTTTGTTTTACATTGGCAACTTTGATTGATTTAATAGTGGTGACCGATTAGGGTTAGATGAATTCGATTGATATAATATGCTCTTCGTCCACACAACTACATAATCACGCCTTCCTCTCTCATCATAATATTTTCTTTTTTTCAACATTCCAAGCGACATAATTAGGCTGTGGAAATCATCAAGCGACAAAATCTGGCTGCTCTTTGTCAACTCCATCCCTCCAATGGAATTTTCGTATTCATCTACACCTCTACTTAATCATTGATATCTTCAATCTTTCTCTCTTTTATACTCCCTCCGTCCCCCAGTTTTTGTCCACTTTGAAATGGGCACACTTACCAAGAAAAGGAGAAAAAGGGAGCATTTTGACTGAAATGCCCTTCAATTACTCCATAATAGATTGGGGAGGGGGCTTATTTCGTTAACAGAAAAGAAAGAAAAGGAAAACACCCATTCATCTTCATCTTTATTCAATTTACACGCAAGACTTAAAACAATTATCACCACCCCATGCCCCACTCTAGAACGATCACCTCTCCATCACCATCAACATTTTCTACATCGTCAAGCATTTCTCCATCTTTTTTATGTTCTTCGCAGGTAGGGGGCTAATAATTTTTCTTTCTCTCCCTGCGAAGGGAGGCTTGTCGATAAGACAATTGCACCATCCATGGAGACAGTTGTCTCCTTATCATGTTGCATTTCTAAGATGAAAGAGGCGAATTCGAGTCTGGAGTACCTCACCATCTACCAGATCTAGGGTTTTTGTGGAGAAGATGAACTCTCTGAGAAAGCATTGGAACTGGTAGACGGAGATACGGTAGAGATGGGTAAAAAGTTCTAGAATTGGTTGGGTGGGTGGGGAAGAAGATTGGTTTTTAATTTGGGTGGTTGGGGGAATAAATGGGCTAGGGACTAGGGAGTTGGCGTAAAGTGTATAAATGGTTGAGGGTAAAATTGGAAGTGTATTGATATTTTTTTGCCAAAATAGGAAAGTGGACAAATATTGAGGGACGGCCTAAAATGGAATAGTGGACAAATACTGAGGGACGGAGGGAGTAAGTTTTATTTGTTTTTGTTCACTTTTTCATGGCTTCTATTCGTACTGCTACTTCTTTGAGTAGTAGTAAGTAGTAACATGTCTTTTTCTCTCTCAAGTGATAAAGCTCTAAAATGAGATTATATGACCAAGATTAGTAAAAAAACTAACATTGGCAGAGTTATAATCAAGTGACGAAATCTGGCTACTCTTCGTTGGCTCCATCCCTCCAGTGGATTTGTTGTATTCAACTACACCTCTACTCAGTCGTTGATATCTTCAATCTTTCTCTCTTTTACTTGTTTTTGTTCACTTTTTCATGGCTTCTATTGGTAGTACTTTGAGTAGTAGTAGTAGCATGTCTTCCTCTCTTTCAAGTGATAAAGGTCCACTTTGGAATTATATGGCCAAGATTAGTAAAATAACCAACACTTGCGGAACATGGAATTTTTTGTGCAATATATGTCTAGAAACTCAATTGGGGAGTTCTCATTTGATTCAAATTACTAGCCAAGGTGTTTTGATTTGTAAAAAAGTGACCAAATCGAGAAGCTTGAGAGTTGAGATACAATGATTGGAGGAAGAATTTGAAAGGAATAAGTAAAACTTTGGACTTAACGATGTTAATTTGCCTTGTGGTTCATCTAGGGTAGAGTTTGTTTTTAAGTCTAGAAAAGAAAAGTGAATCCCCTTTGGAAAAAGCTACTAATCTTGTCGCAAGTCGCAAGAACTCAATTTGATCAAAATATAAGAAGGGTATTTCACCGATGGGTTGCCCTTTAATTTTGCAAAAAATCCATACCTTGTAAGACTTTATTTTGCTGCAAATAATAGTTTTAAGAATCACATAATGTATCAAGAAACAAGAATCACATTGAAGTCATTGATTTACCAATAGAAAACAAATGTTGGGAGGCTACTTCCTACTTCAACCACATATGGCCGAGAGCGAGGTGACAATCTGCGTTGCACCGGTGCAAGGGCAGTTATAGGTAACAATTTTCAAAAAATGAAGATATGGGTACAACAAAAAAACAACATACACACACATACACACCAAGAGTGGCAATCTCTCTAAGATCAAAAGTCTTTTTTATATAAAAAATGTACGAATTTTTTGGTGCCTGTTGGGCAATGAGCAAAATACACCACTCCATTGTTGGCACATGCTTTGAATCCAACATAGTTTCCATTATCTAATTTTTTTTGAATTACATAATACAGAGTATAATTTTTGTATATTTCTTAGCTCTTTAATGTCTTTTGTAAAGATTTTACACAAAGGTACGACTTGATTGAGATTCTGCTAGAGATCCTCTTCATAAAGATGATTAATTTTCTCAAGAAAGAATGAGAAGTTATTGATGAATTGTTTGAAACGATAATACTTCCTTCGTCCTATATCTTCATGTTTCGAACAACATGTAAAATTCCAACTCTTTTAAAAGGATTTTACTTACAAATTGGTACAGGAATAAAATGTACAAATTACACCGTTAAAAACTATATCAAAAGTTCTTCAAAACAAGAGATGACAAAAATATTTTTTATCAAATGATCAATAAAAACATGTAAACAAACATAAATTATCGAGAGGCCATAATAGGAAGAAAGATATGAGATGGAAGGAGTAATTAGTTTCGAGTATTAGATTAGATGAGTATGTTGCATTTCCCTGAATAAGGTCTTTTGGATATTTAACTTCTGTTTTTTAGTGGGAAACATCAGATCTTAAGGGTTGACAACTTGGCAGGAGATTTTTTTCACAAATCCCTTTGCTCCAATCTTTGTCTTTTAGTGTGCTCTGACAATTCATTTGTTCTTTGATTTGTACTTAGTAGCTTTTGATGTTTTGTTATATGAATATTAAACTGTGGTTTATCTATGGGAATATTTGTATTTTGGTTCTTAATAAAAACTACACAATTCAAACACATTGTTGTTTCTTTGCCTCATCATACCCGTATCGTCATTTTTTGAAAATTGTTGTTTCTTATCCTCATACTCATTTAGGTTTCCATTACGGTGCCATTGCTACTTATTTGGGGATGACAAATGAACAAAAGAAGAAAATCCAGTATAAGCCACACACAATTACTTTATAGCTTAATACCACAACGGTAATAACAACCCAATATAATCTCAACAAAGTGTAAGCAACCCAAAACTGTATTCATTAGACCCTTAGTGCATTGTTGCATTTACAACCCAAAACTTCATAGAAAGCAAAGCAAAAGGAGTTTGATATGCCGTTTTAGCGTTGTCCATTGTTTAGGGAAACCTCAAACATTGTCAACAATAACTCTTTTAGCTTCATTGGCAACAGATGCTAAATATAACATAGATGATACATGATCAACCAGTGCAACTTCTCCCCTCCCACTCTCTCTGGATGAACTTGAGTTCCAGGGTTGGCGTTGGCTACTGCAGGAGTAAGTCTGGAAGGCGATGTTTTCTGTTCATTACGAAATCTTTTGCCTGATACTGTAAAACCACTTATTACAGCTGGTTAAAACTATGGCTACCCCAGCTTGACCACCACACCTGCCACCTAGGTACTAGGTAGGTACAAAGTTGTGTTCTTTCAAGTTCGACATTCTTTTCTGGTTTATGCCATTGTAAGTGTGAGACTTCCGAGGCTCACGATCAAGATTATAGCCCTTTCATATGATCATATCCTAAATGTTCTAGGGAAATTTGCATTTATATTTCTGCTTTGTGCAATTATGGTTTCAAAATGATTGGTGCGTGTATTCAACTTGACCCTAGGCTCCTTGCTATAGTATGAGTGAGGGTATATCCGCCTATTTGAAGCTTTAGTTGGATTTTTATGTCTATGCTTTCTAGATACCCGGATTTGCAGTATACAAATCATCTGGATTCCTGAAGGGGCTTTTGTCAAATGGTTCTGAGGTACATTTTCTATCAAAGCCTGTATTTTGTCTTCTTGGGCAACACGCAGTATCTTTTTATTTGCTCATGGTTCTATGGGGTGTGGCTAATGGTTTTGTAGAACGCCGAAGAAGATGAAAAGACTAGAAAAAAGAGAGAGAAAATGGAAAAGAAGGGTTCAAGAACGAAATTCGTCAAGACGAAAGGTCGATGATGCCCTAATTCATTAGAGACCAGTGGTTTCTGTCTTTGTAGTAGCATGTTATATGATTCTTGGAAAAATGCAGCAATCTTGTTATTGACACTAGATTTGTATCCCTGTGTTGCACTCTCAGAAAATTTTATTTACAATAACGATGTATTCCGTAATATTTTATGGTTATAGATTACAAATAATACAAATACAAACTATTGTCACCGTAACATAAAATATTTATGTAACATAAAAACAATTCCGTAATATTTTATGGTTTAGAATTCCTATATATACTCCGCGTATGGAAAAGAATTCTAATGAGATAGAAGTGGAGAGTTATTATCTTGAGAATACTCTTACTGCGTGAATATTTCTTTTATTAGAGGAGAGCCGAGCGGGTGGCAAAAAGCTAAAGAAACAAAGAGAAGGGAAGACTATATAATTGAAAGATGGCTATCAATTTAAAGCAAACCCGTGTATATAAGCTACTATTTTCAAGGAAAAGAGAGTATTGAAGCTAGTTATTTTGACATGCACACAGTCTACATGTCGTCATGGTATATTTCTATGAAGCTTTTTTGAAAGGGTATATAGATTCATAGTTCGTTGTAAGATTAATATTTCTATTCTTCAAAAGAAGCTTCATAGAAATATTGATCATACGACTAACTATAAATCAGTATATCATTCGAAAAAAGCTTATAAAAATATCAATCTTACAACTAACTATAAATTTCAAATCAGGATGACGTGTTGCATGTGTGCATGCTAAAGTAGCATGCTAAAGTAGTTAGCTCCAATACCTCCCTTTTTCATTTAAGTAGTAGCTTCTATACACAGGTTTGCTCTAAATTGATAACCATCTTTCCATTATATAGCCTCTCATTCTCTTCATTTCTTTAGCTTTTAGCCACCCGTTCAACCCTCCTCTAATAAAAGAAATATTCACGATGTAAGAGTATTCTCGAGATCTAATTTAAAAGCTTTGGCACATTTGTTAAGATAGAAATTTCGAAATCTCTTTTAATGATTCCACTTGCCTAGCGAATTGCCTATCCCTAAGACTAAAAAAACAAAGACATTGACAGTTGTAGCCCATTTACCGTAGCTCAAGACCAGCTTGGTCTATATGGAACATTTTATTTGCATATATTTGATCAGATTTATTATGAAAAAGTGGTAGTGACCCATTTATAAAGCCCAAACTCAACCCAGAGAAGCATTCCCATACCTGGCCCATTTCACTTAGGCGGGAAGAATGTTAAAAAATGGGAGCATCTCCAAAGACAAGAGGTAAATTGAGAGTGTATTTTACTTATTTACCTTCTCAAAAAGTAAGACATACATTCCCAAAAAGTGTTTGATTTCAATGGAAGAGGGTAATGGAGAAGGTAAACTTCCCAGGCAAAGGAGTTCCAATCGGTAGCATTGGGGTTTGGCAAGATCGAGCGGCAAGTTCAATTTAATTTTTTTAGTAATTAAATCAGATGTGAAAATGGAAGAGTAAAATTAAGCAACAACAAACGGAAGAAGACGACAAATTCAAATTCTGAGATTTCCTGAATAACATTGAGAATTTGAAATTATGAAATTTTAAATATTGAGATTGATATCTAGATTTCAAAGACATATTATAGTCTAAAACATTGCCTTACTTTGATGTTTTTGTTTGTTCATCAAAGTCACTCACCTATAGAAATTTTGTTAAAGATGTTCCAAACATATTTTACTATTTATTTTAAGAAATCTTGATTCAGAAATTAAAAAAATTCAATTCCAAATTTAAATAAAAAATTCAGATTCAATTTTTTTACTTCTTCCAACCTAAGAATTGATTCCATATGGCATGTCATGTAGACGTGGTTAATGATTTTTTTACTTGACCACCCAAGCAAATGTGCATTTCGAATTTTGGATTCTTCCATACGCGTAATCAATTTTGGGTTTGTTTTGTTAGGTTTGCATCAGACATAAAAGTATTAGATCATATACTACTTTATTCGTCTAGAAAATATTGTTTCACTTTAAATGGGAAAGGTTGTAGTGACATTAACTCCTAATGTCATCCTATGACATGAGTTCCGTTTGAGGTCCCTACGGTGCTCCGTTCGAAAAATTAATTGTTCCTACCCCCTCTAACCCCCCGGTAAAACCCCCAATTCGGCCCGACCCGAACCAACCCCTCCTCCCCTGTCAATTGCACCCCACAAGATGTAGTTGACTTTGGAGTCAAATTTGACTCTAAAGTCAACTACATCTTGTGGGGTGCAATTGACGGGGGAGGAGGGGTTGGTTCGGGNGGGTAGGAACAATCAATTTTTCGAACGGAGCACCGTAGGAACCTCGGGTCATCCCATGACATTGATTTCCAATGTCATGAGAACCGTGGTGCACTTTAAATACCGTGCAAAAATATTACTCTCTCTATTTCTAAAAAGAATTCCTATAATGTGAGAAATAAAAGGTGTATATTTCTAGTTGACTTTCCAATTTTACCCTTGATGTCATGAGTAAAAGTAAGATGTGATGGATAGATTATTTATAAAAAAAGTATGATATGAAAGATAGGGTAAAAAAAAGTAAGGGTAAAAGTGAATTTTGAAAAGAAAGTGGATGTATTTTTGGAAAAAAAAAGTGAAAGAGGAAGCGTTTTAAAAAATAAAGATAGTATATTTTTAAAATTATACTCCCTCCGTCCCTGAAAACTTTTCTCCTTTCTTTTTTCATTCGTCTCTAAAAACACTTCTTGTTCTATTAAAAAATCACTTTTACTCTTTACTTTTTCATACCCTACCTGTCACATCATATCTTTTCAATAATAATCTATCCATCAAATCCTACTTTTACCTATCACATCAAAGGATATTTTTGGAAATTCAATACTAAAATATGCTTCCCTTAAATCACTTCAAAATCAAAACATTTCATATTTAAAGGGACGAAAGGAGTATTATTTAAAAATTGGTATATAAACAATAAGTATAAATTATATATTTTAAAATTACATCAAAAATTATATAAAATAAATTAACAAAACAAGATTTTGTTTTATCAAGTACAGAATAATTAATAAAAACACACAAATAAAATAGTAACCCTTTTCCAATTGAGGAAGTATAAAATTTGGTTGGTTGAAGTAAGATATTTCTTTGGTCCCTAGCTCTCCTTCGGCTCGCCTCCTCCTTCCGGTTGGACAACTTCACCGTTCTTCCACATCCATCCACAGGTGCTTCTTTATCTTCAGCCTTTAGCTGCTTCAGTTTTGCACCTAATCAAATATTCCCAAATAAAATTTATGTCTTCTTCTAATTAGCCAGGTATGGAACTCAATAAGTTGATGTTTGCTTTAATCATCAATGAATTTTTCGAACGTCACTCCAAATCTGAAACGACTCTGTAGATCTTCTTTTAACCCTATTTATTTATTTATGAAGAAGTGTGTGATCTTCTTGTACACTCTACAGATCTTATGTTTTGCTTTTCTGATACGTGTTTGCTTTGTTTCATTTTATTTTTTAAAAAATATTGTGGTTCCAATTTTTTTTTCCAATTACCACAGGTTAATCCGGCTGTACTTTTTAAAAAAATTCTTTGTCAGTTTTTGTTGCCTCTCCTCCATTCTTTGGGTGGGGATTCCAATTATTTTTCATTACTCTGAACAATTACCGCATACCACTGTAAATTTTATTGAAATTGAAAAATAACTGAACATTAACTAAGGGATCTTTTGGCTTAACGTGTTCAATTTTCTGAAAGAAAAAGTTTTTTTTATAGCATTAGCATCTATATCAGCAAAATAAGTCAAAAGTTACTTAGTTTGGGCTATTTTGGTAAGGCCTCGTTTGGGAACAGTGTTTTTCAATTAGGGTTTGCGCTTTGGAATTTTTTAATGGTGCGAATTAACTTTGAACACGTTATTGCTTAATGTTGCTGTTAGATAGCATTTTGAAACTGCTAAAGTTAATGTTACATGTTGTCGTTAGGTAGCACCTTTTCAAAATGCTGAAGCTATTGCCAAACGAGCACTTATTCTAATTGTTTTGATTATTGTTATGATTATTCTACTAACAAGCAGATTTGGCCAATTATGGCACCTTTTGCTAATTCTGCTTATTCGTATTGTTCAGCTGAAGCAAAGTATAAAATAGTTAACCAATAAAGCTCATCATGTCGTGGTGTACTATCGAATCTGATCCTGGTATGTTTTTACTGACACAAACTCTGAAGTTTGTTTAAGGGTGCATTAGTTTTGAATGGTGATGCTTTTCCGTTAATTGAATGTTTTAACTTTATGTTTCCTTATAAATGTATATTTGTAGTCAATGATGTTCCATGCTTTCATTTTGCTTTGGAGCTGCAGTATTTGAATACTAAGGTATCCTTTGCCATGTGTTTTCTTGCATTTCAGGGGTTTTCACTGAGCTAATACAGCAGATGCAAGTCAAAGGAGTGCAGGTTACCCTTTTTTCTCTCTTTGCTGCTTGTCATAATACTATTCAATCTTTCTCATGTTAAAGGGGTAATGTTGTGAACTTCTCAACCCCGTAATGAAATACATCAACTCAGTTTACAGGCGTTTGTTACCTTCTATTATCATTCAATACTTGATTCCTTGAGAGTTCGATTGGAAACTGTTCACAGTAGATAAAGTTTATGGAATGTCTTATGATTGGACACTTGACTGGACCTACATTCTTTTATGTACTGTGTGTTGTTAATACTAAAGGGGTCATACGTATTTATGTATCTCATACCCGTGTTTGGAATTCCTCTTCGGAACAGCTTTTCTATTCTTTAGGGAAGAGGTGAGATCTGCATCCACACACCCCACAGAACCCTAATCTTAGTGAGATTCATGGGTTTTGTTTGGTTTGGTTTATACTTTATACCCGTGTCTTCGGAATCCTTGAGTGTTGACAAATTACATTCGACATTTATCCTTACACATTTGTGTCCCTCAACAGGTTGAGGAGTTGTATACATTGGACCTTGATGCTCTCAACGACCTTAGGTGAGTGAACTAATGTGGCAAGGTTGTGCTTGTTCATGAGATATTGCAATAGATATTGGCAATAGACATTCTTTTTCATGTTTGCACATTTCTGAGATATTGTCAATTGATATTCTCAACGACCTTACACATTTCTCAGATATTGGCAATTAATATTCTTTTTCATGTTTGCACCGTGCTGTTACTTGCACGATTTGATGACATTTTTATCTGAATTACAAATATTTTCTTGTTAAACAGGCCAATCTATGGGTTAATATTTCTTTTCAAATGGCGCCCAGATGAGAAAGATAACCGTCTTGTGATTAAGGATCCCAACCCCAACTTATTTTTTGCTAGCCAGGTTTATTTAGTAAATACATTCCTACACGTCTTAACTTTTATTTATGGTAAAATAATACGGAGCAGTGATTAATTTTTAATACAAATCAGGTTATCAATAATGCCTGCGCTACCCAAGCAATCTTGTCAATCCTTTTGAACAGCCCAGACATTGACATTGGCCCAGAACTGTCTCAGTTGAAAGAGTTTACCAAGAACTTCCCGCCGGAGCTTAAAGGTTTAGCCATCAATAACAGCGATTCGATCCGAGCTGCCCACAACAGTTTTGCAAGACCAGAGCCATTTGTTGCTGAGGAACAGAGAGCTGCTGGGAAAGATGACGATGTTTATCATTTCATCAGCTACATACCAGTCGATGGGATACTGTATGAGCTTGATGGACTGAAAGAAGGGCCCATCAGCCTTGGCCCATGCCCTAGCGGGCCCAATGAGGATTTGGAATGGTTGCGTTTGGTCCAGCCAGTGATTCAGGAAAGGATAGAGAGGTATTCGAGGAACGAAATAAGGTTCAATCTGATGGCCATAATAAAGAACAGGAAAGAAATGTACACAGCAGAGCTGAAGGAGCTTCAGAGGAAGAGAGAGCGCATTCTTCAGCAACTGGCAGCTTTGCAATCTGAGAGGCTTACTGCAGATAGCAGCAGCAATGTGGAAACTCTGAATAAAACATTAACAGAAGTGAACTCTGGCATCGAAATGGCTACTGAGAAGATACTGGTGGAGGAAGAGAAGTTCAAGACATGGAAAACAGAAAACATTCGCAGAAAGCACAACTACATACCCTTCTTGTTCAACTTTCTCAAGATTCTTGCTGAAAAGAAGCAATTGAGGCCTCTTATAGAGAAGGCCAAACAAAAAGCAAGCAAATCCTAGTAGGCATCGAACAAGTAAGTGTAAACACTGACATGGCTTAACTTTGGACCTCACCAAGGGATCTTCTTTGCTGCACTATTATTATTACTATTACTTTGATCATCATCGACTTTTTGTTAATTATCCGCGGGATTCGCTTAAAGCTATGCTGATGTTCTTATTATTTCCGTTAGATTGTCTGAAAAAGTTATAATTGGGATTTTGCACCTAAGAGACCTTCGCTGCGGTAGCCTCCTTGCCATTGTTTGGCTGGAGGATTTCCATTGGAGGGTGAAGTTTTTTTTTTTTAAAGTATTCTTATTCTTACATTTGATAGTTTAAAAGAAGGTGAATATGGTATTTTTTTTAGTTAAATACGAAGTACATGATTGAATGAGGCATGGTGAGGGAGGTTCGGTGTATGGTTTAAGAACAGTTAATATGCTTTCATTGTCCTTCAAAAGAAAAAAATGATTTTCTTTCATTTTCTTCACAAAAAATAAAAAGAATTTTGGTTTTCCTCTTTGTAATAATTCTATCTTTAATGCTCTGTTTGATTCAAGAAATTTGAAAGAAAAAAAATGAGAAAAAAATATTTTCTTTTTTCCCCTTCTGAATTCTTTGAACCAAACATAATGTAAAACTTTTTTGAAATAAAATTCGAGATACTAAAGAAACTGTAAACATCGTGTAATAATTTTTTAGGGTAAATTCTCTCGTGGTACTCCAATATTGCAGATAGCACAATATTGTCTTTAGTTTGTTGCTATGGTGTATGCGTTCACAAACGCGGAATAATTAAAGTGTAATCACATTTATATATAATGTGATGAAATATAATCTAATAAAAATTACGAGTACAAAAAAAAGAAACTCAAAGCTTTCGTCGGAATTGGTAGTGGAACAAGGACAACATTAGAAAGTTTCTAATTCAAAACAATGTGAATTTATACACCCACGAGTTATAATCGCCTATAAATTCATAGAGTTTGCAAATGATTATTGTCTGTGTATGTATGAATTCACAGATGATTGTCATAAGTGATAGATTTTTAGCATTTTTTATGTGTGATACGAAACATTACACTGTTCCAACCGCATAAATAACTAATACAAAAAATACAGAGTACATAAATAGTTACACTATGCACAATTTTTCTACGAGAATAACTATGTTTAATACCAACAATTTCTATTCTACACGTACTTAGTTCTTGAGAAGGTATATTCATTTAAGTGGATATTTTAAAATATTTTTTAAGATGATCCATTCACCACAAGTCCTCAACTCCGAGACTTAAAAAATGGTTCACCTACCTCTGAGGGGTAGCTTCGCGGCAAAAACTAGGAACAGATGGTAAGAGGTTGAGGGTTCGAGTGGTGGGAGGAAAATCTAGATTGTAATTTCTTTGGTAGAAGATCAAGGTTTTAAAGTCCATTTGGACACATAAAACTAGCGCAAATTATATTATACAACCGACTGTACCCAAAATTAGGTACATCCGGTAAAACGGAGGAAGAAGAGCTGCGTCGATGAAATCGAAGGGGTGAAGGATGGGGACGAAAATCGAAGGGGTGCTCTGTAAATTAGTCCGATTGAATACCGGCGAAGACGACAACACAGGAGAGCTGTTGTTGATTGAGGAAGGAGAGGTGCTCCATTGATCAAGGAAGAAAGCTGTTGTCGATCAGAGGAGAGGCGCGGGGATGAAAAACCCTACAGTAGTGTGGTCGGGTCTGGTCGGGTTAGGTAGGAGAGAAGGAAAGATATTTAAAGCATAAATTTTATTTTGCTTGAGAATGAACACTAAGTTATTTGGGAATGATTATTATTTTGTTTCAGAATTAACCTTAAGTTATTCATAAATAAATATTATAATTGTTTTAAATAAATGTGTGAAAAATGAGTACTACATTATTTGTTTCAGAATTAACACTATATTATTCATAGATAAATATTATAATTTTATTAAATAAATATGTGAGAATAAATACTACATTATTTCAGAATGAATATTATATTATTTCAAAATAAGTACCATACTATTTCAAAATTATTCAAAATGAGTATTACCCGAATACACACCTTCTCATAAAATGAGGAGCCACTAGACCCATATCTTCCATTAAGGTTAATTAAACTTCTTCTGTCCTCTCCAGTCTTGTTTTTCTAGTCAAATTTAATTGGTTATAAATTAAATAGCAAATACGGAGTAATATTTTAATTTAATACAGTTAAATACTCTCTACATCCCAACTTAAATTATCTGATGTTGTTTACATTAAGACAGAAATAATATATCCTTAACACTATGTTGTACCTTCTAATTTTCTTTTTCTACCACTGAAGAATTGTGATTTTCCTTGAATAATAAAGTGGGAGTACATGGGTTTATATATACAACCTTTTCATAATCCTAATCATGGTAGGATTCTACAATAGGAAACAATATTTGTACAATTAATATAGAATATATATTTAACATAAATATAGAATATATTTAACATGCTCCCGGCTACGTCGGCGTCAGAGGTGGGCGAATCCCGAGGCTAGTCCGAAAATCTTGAAATAGTATGGACGGGAGGCCTTTTGTGAATATGTCGGCGTACTGTGACGAGGATGGCACATGAAGGACTCTAATCTGGCCGAGGGCCACCTTGTCACGAACAAAGTGAATGTCAACTTCAATATGCTTAGTGCGCTGATGCTGAACCGGATTGGTGGAGAGGTAAACGGCACTGACGTTGTCGCAGAAGATGAGTGTGGCGCGGCGTAGGGGCTGTTGTACCTCTAGGAGGAGATTTCGAATCCAGCTGGTTTCGGCAACGGCATTCGCAACGGCTCAGTATTCAGCTTCAGCACTAGATCGGGAAATGGTAGCCTGGCGTTTGGAGGACCAAGAGATGAGGTTGTCCCCAAGGAATACACACTAGCCTGATGTGGATCGCCTAGTGTCAGGGCACCCAGCCCAATCAGCATCAGAATAGGCCTGGAGAGAATCTGTGCCAGAGGGAGAAGAGTTATACCGTAAGTGGAGGTGCCACGGAGATAGCGTAGGACACGCTTCATGGTCGTGACGTGGGCATCCCGGGGGGCGTGTAGATGGAGACAAAGCTGCTGAACTGAGTAGGAGATGTCTGGCCTGGTGAATGTGAGATACTGGAGTGCTCCAAGTATGGAGCGATATAGAGCTGGGTCAGCCGCCAACGAGCCTGATGTGCCGGACAGTTTGGCCTTTGTATCGACTGGAGTGGAGATGGGACGACAAGTGGTCATGCCGGCACGCTCTAGGATGTCGTGCGTGAACTGTGTTTGGTGTAAAAAGAGACCACGAGCTGTCCGATGAACATTGATGCCCAAGAAAAAATGAAGGTCGCCCATGTCAGTCATAGCAAATTCCCCCTTAAGTCGCTCAGTCAGGCGCTTAAGGAGAGAGTCAGAGGAAGCTGTGAGGACGATGTCATCAACATAAAGGAGTAGGTAGGCAGTGTCTGTCCCGTGAGAGTAGATGAAGAGAGAGGTGTCCAACTTACATCCTCGAAAACCCAGCGTGTAGAGAAACCCAGCAAATCGTTGGTACCATGAACGAGGAGCCTGTTTCAAGCCATATAGTGCCTTTTTCAGCCTGCATACATAGTTGGGCCTGTGGGGATCCTGGAATCCGGATGGCCGAGAGGCGTAGACTACCTCCTGCAGATGGCCATGGAGAAAGGCATTTTTAACGTCCAACTGATGGATCGGCCATCCTCGAGAGAGAGCAAGGCTGAGAATGATGCGTATAGTAGCTGGCTTGATCACAGGGCTAAATGTCTCATCATAGTCGACTCCGAATCTCTGGTTAAAGCCACGAACAACCCATCGAGCTTTGTACCTGGTTAACTCACCTGTAGGGCCAAGTTTGTGCCTAAAAAGCCATTTTCTGGTTATGATATTTTGGTGGGGGGAAGGGGGTACTAATTCCCATGTATCGTTCTTGATCAATGCATTAAATTCTTCACACATAGCATTGTGCCAATTGGGATCTTTGAGAGCACTACGGTAGGTGAGAGGCAGGGGGGAAATGGGTACAGTGGTGTTGAGGTTGAGAATATGTTTCGGACAGGTTATGCCAGTTTTGGAACGCGTGACCATGGGATGTTG